TTAAAATGGACTTCTACTTCCCTATCAAATGTGAAGTCCGTAGCTGCAGATTTAAGGCACCTATTACGCTTTTTATTTGGTATAAGCTTATGTAGCTCGTTGAGGATTAAAAAGGAAGTAATTGTGAATTTCGTACCTCGAACTGTTCAAAAGTTATGTCGTAAAAACCAAAAAACGGAGAACGGATAGAAAAAGAAATATTTTCTCGACGCTAATCATGTGTACCAATGGAGATTTCCTAGGACCTACCGTTGCCGAGATATAAAATTTTTATGCATCCGTAGATACTTTCGAAAAATCGATGAAATCGAATTTTTCGAAAGCAGCAAATTGCTTTTTATTTTGAAGGTAAATTTTATTTTAAAAAGATTATAAAACTGTTGTCTGTATTGTCTAGAAAATCCATCCATCCATCTATTCCTGATGCTGAAAAATATAAGTCCTTCTTATCACTATTTTTGAAACTTGTATAATTAAAATTTGAAAATTCTTCAAATTGCATACAAAATAATTGTTATTTGCAAACTTTACAATAGTCCCGAATAAGAATTCGTTGACACTTTGTTCTTACGGAAATCCTTAACCCTTCTCGATTTTTAACATCAAAAATTTTTCCCAAATGGTTGATGTAATAAGAAACGTAAGGTTTTAGTGCGTTTTTGAGATATCTATCCAACAACAAAAAAATATCAAAATCAAACCGTAATCAAAACTTTTCGCAAAAAGTGGAAAAGTTTAAAAGCATAAAGTTAATATAAATATAATAATATAAATATAATATATGCTTAGGGTCAAACACTTTTTGTATTTAACTTTTTCTTCTCAGTGTCGTACTTATTGAGGTAAGGCATAGGAGCATCTTAAATAAAAATTAGACAAAGTAGAAATATTGAGATAAAATTTGTTTGATACCGGACCTAATTGTTGCCCGACACCAGCGGTGCTACGCCTGACTACTGTGCGCTCGATAAGACTCCACATAGTATTCTCAGTGTGACTTGGACTATAGCAATATTCTTTGGTTGATTTATGCTATGGGATGTTTTCCCATAGTCCTGGATCTATCAACCGAAGCTTCATTTAATTTCTGCTCATACCGCTCCGCATAGTCCAACCTTAAATATTCAACAGCTACGTTTTTACAGTTCTATGCGCTCCCGGTCAATTTTCACCGTTTAATTGGTTTTATCCGACAAAACTCGGAAATTGGGCGCGACGCAAAATCGACGTTCGGTGCCTGGAATTACCGGAGTAGTTGGAAACCGGAAAAAGAAATGGAATTTGCGGTTGTCGTCGATAGCTCGCCAAGTACTTTATTAGCAAACAAATTCTGTCTGGTCGACGGCGTAACATAAAACATTCCTTTAATAAAGTTTGTTGTGGAACTTATATTAGTCGTTGGAATTTCAGTTAGCTAAGCTGATTCAACGTGAACGGCTACGCAATCAGTGCAAATGCTCTATTTGATTCCGATAGCTAAGTCAGGCTTCTAAACATTGAAAAAATCAATTTTGAATAATACTCGATAATGGATTTGATTGCAATTTATTGATATCTTGGATATTAATTTTGTGTTAGTTTTGGTTTGCCGATCACAATACAAAATCATCTAGCAATGCATCAACAGTTATTTTTATACTAATTGAACAAAATCATCAAAAAAGCATTGAGATCTGAGAAGCTATTCAAATCGAATTTCCAAGAAGACTTGGTTTTTGCATGAACATAATGTATCAATTATATGGAGTAATATTATGTTTACACTCTGTAATCTGAGCGATAGTATCAATCCCAACTGACAGTTTTATAATGTTAACGGTTACGTTTCGACTGTCCATTTTATAAAACCAGAGAAATTATCAATTGGTCGCGAAACGTTTTAGTTACTCTTATAAACCCGCTACAGCACTTAAATTTTAATCCCATATAAAACTTTTACCTCCCACTTAATCTGTAAATAAGAAGTTGCCGTTACCTTTATAAACTATAAATAAGTTTTGGTTATGGAAGGAAGGAAAGGTGTTTATAAACACAAGCCACACCAGAATTTTGTTTTGGCCCCCTGAAAGAGTTAAAAATAGATACAAGTTGATTCGGGTTACAAATTCATTGTCGGAATCTGATTGAAAAAAATGCGATTGCTTAAACAAAAGGAAAAAAATTATTTTATAGGAAATGCTTGGTTTCGGCATTTGCCAATATAATATTGATTTAATGAAAACCTAAATTTTGGTCGACTTTCTCTAGTTTTGAATAATTTATCGCCAACTTCCAACACATTTTAAAATGGATATTATAAAAACTGGTATTATATTTGATATAGTGGCTTCTTTCTGCATTTCTTACTAGGCTATAATAGTATATTGTGCTGCAAGTGTGGCAAAAGACATTAGAGTTACGAGTTTATTATTTATATGCTTCATAAATGAGTGACTTCAAAAGTTTACCAAACGTGTGACTATGCTTTTTCTACGACCGGTAGTTTTGGGAACATTTTTGCAAAACAGGACGAATACATTTACTGATATGACCGTCAGAATCGACAAACGTCAAAATTCAAGGCGTGGGAAATGCGAGAACATTCGATTATACCCAAACCCGTGCAGTAATATCTTAGATATGTCCGAAGTGGCTCGGAACGGTGGTAAACGAAACTGACGTAGTAAACTGACACTTTCAGAACGCTAGATCGGTGTATAATTAGGTATTTTACAGAAGCGAGTAGAAAAATTTTATATTATCTTATATGTTGCATAGAAACTGCTAGAATATTTATTAGATGATTAAAGTCTTCGTTTTAGTGTCCAGAAACGAACGGCCGTCGAAAAGTTTTACCGTTTGCCGTTTACCACACTTGATGCAGAATATACCATAATAAAACTATAATAGTATATTGTAAATAATGTTGCATACCATACTTTTTCTACGACCATTAGTTTTTGGGTACATTTTTGCAAAACAACAGTAATAAATTCACTGAATTGAAGCCGTGGGAAATATCTCCGAAAACATCCGATTGTTCCCAAACCCGTGCGGTATTATCTCGGAAATGTCCGAAGTGGCTCGCAGCTTTGGGAAGCCAAACTGACATCGTAAAATTACACTTTCCGCACCCTAGATCCGTGTAGAAAAAAAAAACTGTTGTTAAACCTAAGGTTGTTGATAAACCCCTTATAATAAATCCCTAAGCTGCGAAAAAATGTAAGTTGTTATTGGTTAGTTGTTAACTTTGTCACTAACCAAAACTAATATTTATCTATTTTTATTTTGATTTTTTCTTGGCATGTTCCAAATTGTCCTTCCTAATTTTGCCTGAGTTGATATGAATAATTGTCTAAAGCTATCTTAGAACGCGTTGAGAGAATCTGCAATAAAACTCATAACTAACGTGCATCCTTGCTAAATTATCGGGATTACTGTTTAAATACCTTTCCAATGCCACTCTCAGACTAAGCCTATATAAGTACAGGTTATTTTTCCTAAATTAAACACATATTTATTATTACGTATCAATGAAGCGCTGTTTTATGTGAAGAAAAGATTACTTTGGTAATGGAGCATTTTTAAACTCTGTAAGCGCTTTCGGCTACGTACGGTGGAGCCGAACGTATTTCCGAACTTCAAGGCAAAAGGTTGCTAAGAGGTTCTCTCTAAAAAACGCATCTGTTGCACATATTTATATATTTATATATTGTTGTTTGTTCATAAATAATTCTGCCAACTTTCTGAACAGTATAACATACTTTGCGCTCCCCATTATGCCTCTAAATCGAGTTTTAAAAACACCAATGCATCTTTTCAGAGTACTTCTGGTTTCTCACAAGTCATTACCCAGGGTTGTAATGCATATCCTGAATCCCCTAATAAGCAATATATTTCTCTGACCTCGAATGAAGAAACAAATATAATTAAAATATATCTCGACATACATAGGTTGGCATAAAAATAAAGTAAGTGCTGAAGAGTGCAACTTTTTATCATATTCATTCGCAAACAATGATTGATATATCACATACTATACAGAGTGACGAGCAGAAAATATGTAGAGCTTACAGGTAAACATATCGAGTTTCCAATCACCAAAGCACCCCATATAAATGTGGCAGTTATTAATCCGTCACGTCCACTTATTATGTGCATGTTTTTGGAATCAAATTCCTTTTCTGCTGATTTGGCATCATTACACTGTATTTTTATGGAGTGTGATGATTGTTATTTGAGTACCATCTATACAGCCAATAATTCCTGGGAATCCACCTTTTTCCATAAAAGCTCTTTTAATTTGGGCAATTCTTTGTTCAGTTTGGGGAAAACAGATCCAATGATTATACAGTTGTTGAACTATACTCTTTTATACAGAGACTAGCTCCTTATTTATCCTAAACAATTCAATGAATCTCCTCTCTTGCGTATTATCTCTCACTACCTTTTTTGCAATTTTTAAATTGGAGATCCATCGGCCTTATTTTTTAATTTTTAAATTTTTATGTCCTAAGAGGTTTCAGTTTTAGAATACGAACTAACAGATACCTACCTGTAATGCGGTTATTCTGTTCTATGTGTATTAATTAAACTAAATATGCAAAAACGAACTAACAATCATTGGTCAACCGGAATAAAAAAGGATTTTTGGTTAGTTTGGGATTTTCTTCATCATTGTTTCTATGTTTTTAACACTTGGAGTATAATTATCCATGCCGAACCTACGAAACGAATTTTGGCGAATAATAGGCGTGAAGTCTAGAGAAATGCTTACGGAGTAACCTCGGCATGTAACGACGGTTTCCCTTCGCGCCCGCATCTTTCGCTTAGGAATGTGATACGAGTTTGAATCCAGCTTCCTTACTTTCGAAGCGTTTTGGAAAAATTCATGCCAAATCAAACTCGCGATTAAAATGGCGTTTATTATACATTTCGCTACGCTATTTAAGCCGAGTATACTTAATTTGGATTGAACATAGCCTGCGTCGGTCGATATAGCTAAGCAATATTTTTTACAGTTTCAGGGAACTCGATCCAGGATGCTGTCCACATCACAGCAATTCTTGGCGAGTCCGTCGTGTTCAACTGTCACGTGGAATTCCCCGAAGGACACCCGGTACCGTATGTGTTGCAATGGGAGAAGAAGGTAGGCGATACGGTACGATTTTGTTCCTTCTGCTCTCTCTCTTGTATTGTGCGATCGCCCTGGAATGGGCGGTCTGCCACTGGCCCTAGGTTTGTCCTTTCGACGCGCACTAGCTGTTCAAAGTAAATTGGAAGTGTCATTTTAAGTCGGATCAAACTACGATCGCTTCATTAACGTATGACTTTATTTACCCAGACGGCACATGAGACAAATTTATTGAGATGTAATTATTATTATAAACTCTGTGTACAGAGTTAGGGTTTGTGGTAATGGCCATCCACACATTCAATTCATATTGATCAAAGGGATCTTTAAACTGATACAGCTGGGAAATCATGGATAAACTCCTGATTAATTTCGAATTGTTTCTAAGGAGTAACACATTTACTCGCTTCTGAGTGAGAAATTTTAAAGAACAAATCATACAGACGGTTACGGTATTCCGAAGTATTCCCTGCTTTGTATTAAATATGTTAGGAACAAAGCAATATAAATTTGTTGATGCTGCTGTCGGAACGCGCCTCTCATGTTATGTAGATTAGTCATTGTCACGGAACTCTAAAGCTAAATACCAGTACTAATAGTACCTAGTAATGGTAAGAGCAAGATGCATTGTTTTCGGAGAAAGAAGGTGGTCTGGATTAACGCTAATAATAATAAAGATACATTTTAATTATATCCTTTTGATCCCAAACAACACAAATCTTTGAACTCTAATTTGCTTTGATGTAATAGTGCTGTCGCAAGGTAATGTATTTTTTAATAGAAAATCATTCTGTAGATCCATCGGTTTTGGCGATTTTATACCACAAATAGGAACTACCAATTCTATATTAATATTTCGCCAAAAACGATCGACTTAAACTATTCAAATTTGAAATTATTAGCCGTTTGTGTGGGTGCTATTTTATTTCGAGGTGTTGAAAAGTGCCGAACCACCGATGCACACCTCTCGCCGTAAATTGTTTATCCTTTTGGTTTTGGTGTGATTATTTTGGACAAAAGCAAACCAGGGAAATGGAGAGCAGATTAGATATTCGACATTATTATAATCCCCATTATTTATGTCGTGGACACTCGTTTGTTTAGCCTTTCATAAATAATTCACCAACGAAATATTTATGACGTTATTGTAAAAGTTCACTTTGGAAAGCGCTAACCAAACACCTGCGCGATATATTTCAAGTACTCTAAAATTTGGCTGATTTAAATTTTTGAAAGTGTTTTTATAAAATCGCTATTATACTCTACATAAACACTTTTGCTAAAATTTACAAACTAAGGCAATGTAGGAGTTAAAGTTTGTCTATTTGTATTTCTTTACGTATCGGTAAGAGAACTTCTTCGGTTAACTATAAAAGAACTAAATAAAGCTGTAAAAATCAAAAACGTCTAAAATTCACGAAGTCATTAGACTGAAATGTTATTAATACTTTGAGCTACCCAGAATATTAGTTATACATTTAATTTATAATGTCCCATAAAAACCTTGCCGTTGCTATGAGCATTGACATTTGTTGACTCCTGGAAGTCTGTAACTTTTTTCTTATTTGTGTAATTTTAATTAATTAGGTTTAAGGCTAATTAGGTTTTAGAATGAAAAATATGGGAAATATGGAGAAAATAATGTTTTACAAATTAAAACTACAGTTGTGTGGTTATTCTGAACCATCCAAAGAGAATTAAGGCGCAGCGAATTTTACTGTTGTTCAGTTTAGTTTTTTTCTATTATTTTTTTACTAAATATTAATATCCTTTGATCTAATCAAAAGGATTTCAAATTTTCTATATTGATGAAAACTTGGTAGTATACAAGAGTTATTGCAGAGAATATGCTTCAAGAGCAATACTTTATAACATTATAAGTATTAGGAAGACTCTCTGGAACAGGCTCGAATCTTCCACCCCACACCTGACACCAATCGTTACCGCTTTAAATTAGCACAAATTGTTCGAGTTCGGTTGGTCGAGTTGGTCTATAATAACTGAGGCACCAACTATTTACACTTTACTCTATGCTCACTACAAATGATTTATCTGTCTCTATTTATATCAGTCGATTATTTATATTTGCGCGTTCCTGTTGATCTTTTCAACTGACTGGCCAGCGACAGAGTTGCTTCGCTTTTATTGCTTGCGATAGATGTAGAACATTCGAGGCGTGTGTCAGCAAATTGGAGTAGGTGATTTTGCTTGAATTCTTGGAATTCACATAGGGCCGGGCTCAGCCAATTCGGTTCGGTCATAACAATAATACATTCTGTTGGCGTCGTATTAGAAGAATTAATTTGGTATTCTCCAGCCTTCAAATGTAATTTTCGACATATTTTTACATATCTTAAAAATTCCAAAACTTGATTAGGGCATATTATAGTAGGTAACAACAAGTGCTGACCTTTTAATACTAAAATGAAACGGTATATTACCAAATTTTCAAGTATTTGCTGGTAACAGTTTTCTCGTAAGAGGTCGACAAAATTTCCAAAGGAACACTAAGTAAGAAAGTTAAAGTTTGCATTCCGAAATTATAAAATTAAAATAAAATTATATCTGGAGCGATTAATGTCTGTTATCAAAAATTATCATCGCCTAAGATTCGTTGCAGTTTGAACACAATGAGAAATACTTAAACATAATTTTGTTTATCAAATATTTGATTAAAAATAAACCATGTTTCTGTATCACTTGATGGGCCTTTTGCTACTTCCAAAATACGGCGTTGCGATTTATGCATGCCATGAATGAAGTTTTCCTGTATCATTCGAGTAGTTGAAACGTGACGTTAAGCAACGCATATCAGACAAGTGTCCACGATTTCATTCATTGAACACTGTTTCATCGCATATTAAAGTGACAGTATTTTTGCACCTAACATTGTAAAATCTCTTCTCTATCACTTAATAAAGGTAACGGGGTTTATTGTGCGTATACTTAGTCATTACTGTACAAAATCTGTCTCTCTCTGTCTTATTTTCCCGTTGAGCATATTTTATATTCTATATATAGTTAGTAAGATTTTCGAAAATTTGACATATCGTTATATGCTGAGCGTTTCATAATGGTAACTTTATCATTTCTATGGATACTAAGAGCAGTCACTTATACATAAATATAAAATATGCAAACCGCTTAAAGGCAGTTCAGCAGACGCATTGCTTTTCAGGCAAATTTGTCTGTAAACGCGGTTTAAGCCAATTCTAAAGTTGCTGCAATCGCTTTAATGTAGTCTGACCGAACAAAGCGCCATTGTTTATGCATGTAAGTTCGCTTTATTACGTAAATCGCCGACTTTCCCAGCATGTTTACTAATAATAGTTTCTTTTGTTGTACTTTTCGAACTAAAATGACTTTAATCTAACCATTTTCGATTAAAGGTTTGCCAGACTACGCGGAGTAGCTTTAAAATATGGATCCAGCTATTTTTAGAAGTCAGGGTTGATTTTGGATTTCGTCAATACAGTTGATAAATCGTCGAATTTTAATAGTTAACGCAGTTTTAACATTTTTAAATCGTTATTCTAGATTCTCTCAGAGGGCTAATTTGTCATCCATCTGGATAAGCGCTTGTCCATTGGGTTGGACAAGTGATTCATTCATTAATACAACTTTGCGGTCAGTGATCCAACTTATATCATGTACGAAATACATTATAGGGCTACTGAGCTTATATTCTAGAGCAAGTTATTGAGTGTAGTGAAACAAGAGGGTGTTGACCATCCCATCATTGGTATGTTTTACAAATGGTTCTCAAATTTTTCAAAAAAACATCTCCAGTCGACTATTTACCAATCTTCTGAATTTCTCCAGTGTCGGTTGTTGACGAATCGGACTTTTTGACGTCTTGCCAATCATCCGGATGACTTCTGCAGAGCTTAACTGAAACTGACCCGCATTGGACTCTGTACCTGTATTATTTAAGGGTCGCGGAACTAAAGGAGGGGCACGAACGTTGTCTTGGATGGCTGATTACCATGTTGGTGAAAAGTATGGTTGAAAGGGTATCGAACTCTAACATGATTCATAACAGAGCTCAAAATGTTTGTTTATCTTTTATTCAGAGTCACATATAAAAATTTGAAGAACTAACGTCAACACTAGTGAAACCATCAAACTTTTCTCAACTATCAAACACTGTGGTAACTGTATCACCGCACCAACTTTCTGATACGGAAAAATTAGTTCTTGCACAAGGTTCCAACCTCGTCCTTGTCCCTGTATTTCCGCAAAATAGGAAGTCATTTCAAATGTCGAGTCTATCCTAAACAAACAGTCAATGAAATTCGATTTAAAACTGCAAAAAATCCTTAAAAATTCCGAACTTCCTAATATAATGTTCCAAAGCCTGAACGCATTGCTCTAAAAACTAATCCCGACATCGTAATTCTAGAAGCAGGTAAAGGAAATGCTACGGAAGACGTGAACACAAGTAAATATCAGGAATAAATTCAAGATATTATTCTTTCAGGATTCGATACCCTTAGAAACATGATTCATGACAAACTTGAAAATCTTCGTTCATCTTCTAGCCGGAATCACATTCAAAAATTTGAAAAAGTAATTAATGTCAACACTAGTGAAACCATCGAACGCTTCTCAACTACCAAACACTGTGGTAAATGTATCAGCGCGCCAACTTTCTGAGACAGAAAAATCAGTTGCTGCAATATGTTCCAACTTCGCCCTTGCCCCACGTATTATTCCAAAATAGGAAATCATTTCAAATGTCGAGTCTATCCTAAACAAACTGACATCTCGAACAGCCAATGTAATTGAATTTCAAACTTCAAAAATCCTTAAAAAGTCCAAAGCTCCTAAATCTAATATTCCAAAGTATGGACGCATAGCTCTAAAATTTCTAAAATCTAATAACGACATTATAATTCTAAAAGTAGATAAAGGGATATCATTAAAATATTCAAGATATGCTAATAGGATGACCTCATCGTCAGCACCATTGGTTCTTGAACATATTCTCAAGCAAAATATCTATCCATATCAAAACCCTTTACAGGGAAAACTAATAGTTTCGTATTTAATTCCTTTTATTTAATTGTACAATTAAAAACTGTTACATTAGATCCACAGGATAATCTGGTTAGTTTCGTCGTAGAATCCCTATTCCTGAAACTCTCAACACAAGCACAAACTCTTCAGATGTATTAAAATCCGAGAATCTGGAACCAAACCGTCTCATCTTAACTGAGAAATGCTTGTCTGGAATATATTTTTCTCATAACGGTCAAATTTTTTGAACAAACTTCAGGAACAGCTATGGGTTCTCCGTTACCACCACTCATCGTGAATATATTTATGGAAGTCTTTAAGAGGAAAGTCCTCGACACCTTTTATCTAAAACCAAAATTATGGAAACGATACTTTTGTTAGTTGACCTCGTGGTCAAAAATCGCTCCCAATTTTCTCAGCCATTTATGCACCGGAACATACGTTTTACCATTGAATTTGAAATTAATAATAATCTCTCATTTTTAGATATTCTTATCAATAGAAAATCAGACCTAACACTGGGTAATTCTGTTCTGTAATTCGGAAAACATATGCACATGCATTGTTATATCACCATACGACCAAAAAATCATCGGTTATCAACTCGCTTGCTTACATAGCTGCGAAACTATCTCAACCGGAGTCACTAAACCCAGAATTAAAACACCTAATTTCTGCTCTTCTTTCTAATAATTTCCAAATTAGAGATATTAAGCGTCCCATCACAAAATCCATTTTATCAAAACCTAAAGACAATGAGCAACCCCACACTTGCCACTGTTGTCCTTCCTTATATTCAAATATAACGTCAAAATCAGATTTACCGATGTTAGATCCAAAAGTTTTCGATCTGTTAAAGACAAAATTCCGCTTGAGATACCAGGAGTCTACAGCATTCCATGTATATGTGGCAAAAGAATACATTCTAAAGAACGGACGAAAAATATCATCTATGCTCAAAGAACATGAAAGAGCCTTCAGACTATGACAAATAAACTCATCAGCAGTTGCAGAACACGATCACGGAACCGGACATCAACGAAATCTGAAATTCTATAGAAATCTATAAACAACCAAACCATCTTAACCTCGTCCCAGGTTTACTTTTCACCAAAATGCTTATGCCCCTCCTTTATCTCTGCCCCCAAAGCAATATACAAGCAGGTACTGAGTAGAATGCGAGTTTTAGTTAAGCTCTGAAGAAGCCAATTGGCGAAACGTCAGCAAGTTCGATTCATCAACAACCCACGCAGGAAATTGTAGGCACCTCGAAACTAAGATTACTAAAAATGTTTTGTTTAATATAAAAGCGGCTTATTTAAAGGTGATCTTTCAGTGAAACTTCAGTCTGTTTCATGTTCATGTTCATGTTTAGACGAAACATGATTCTTAATGCCGGATTGTCACTCCTTAAGAACATTTTGTCGAAATCGTGTTGGTGTCACAGATATTGACCCATATCATTTCACTCGTATTTTGACAAAAAACACTCGCATTTGTTTCAATAAAAAGTGATTACCAAATGCCTTAAAAAGATATATAGACTTTTGATTTTTAATTGCCCATCTCATTGTCGGTTACTAATGGAATCTATGTTATCTTCATCAGTTTAAATATTCCTCATAACAGAACCCTGTTCTGGTTATTTTCGTTCTCGAATTGTCGAAGTTGTAGTTGACAGTCGCATTTCCAATGAAGTGCTCACTATTGATAACTCTAGTGCCAACTTTTTTATTGATAGAGTAACTTCGGTTAAATTCGGTTTGTATTTTAAACGGTAAACAATAATTGAATAGTACAGTGCAAAAAAAGGGGTTTAGCTCTGTTTCTGCAAATCTTACTTCCATAGAGCAAAAATAACTTCAGATAAATATATATACCTTTTATAGAATCGGTGCAAAAACGAATAATATCCCCACCTGCATCCTATCGGCATCGACTTGATTCACTGTTTTGCAGTATTTCACAACACAATCTGCAGCTAATGGACAGTTCTAGTTCGTTTTTATTAATTTAATATATTAGGTTCGTTCCAACTTGAAAAAGGTTTAAAACGTTTTATCAACGACTTTCAATGTCCCTCTGTAGCTCATAGCTCATTTAATATTAATTCCAAGTCAATCTCATTTTAGTTTTCCAATTAATTGACGCAACTTTGTCATTTTTATTGGCCGTTGATGATATGTATGCAGAGATGGATGATAGTTTATTTGTACAAATAAATTCGACGAATACAACTCGAAACATGTGGGTCTTTTGACATTTTGGCGCTGCTAATTCGAATATATTTTGAATTATGTGTTTCAAAAATAGCATTTAAAAAGCAATCAATTTCAATTTTAACAAAAAATCTGAGTTTTTATTGTTGCTAATATATTCAGGTAAGCTATTTATTTACAACTAAATCTCACCCGCCATTTTGTGCAGGTACAATACTGCGGTATTTTTCAAGTAAAGTGGTGTTTATTGGCTCCCGTAAAATTCAGAAAAATGTAGTCTCCCTCTTTTTGTATTCGACTCCTCAATCATTATTATTATTATAATCCTATAGAAAGAAGTAACAAAAAAATGCATTTTTAAATTCGAAGATCCAGTTAATTGATAATAAAGACGCTTAGAGTTATGGAAAAGAATTTTGAAGTCAAGCGTGATTTTTGTACAATAAAGATTCACAACAAAGTCGAAGAATTGAATATGTGACTAACTATTATTTTTCATTATGCGGCTATAATAAAATAAAAAAAGTAAAGGGTAATAAAGGATTGAAAAATTACAAAATATGTGAGAAGTTAGGCAAAATATCCGCAATTCGAAAGAAGGTAAAATTGATTCCGGGACCTGAAAAAAAATCAAAATGAATAAACTAATGGCAGCTAATACTGCTCTGTGCTAGTGAAAAGTTTAATTGACCGTATTGTTGTTATTGATTTTTCATTTCCTAAATAATCCTTGCTAATCTTTTTACCTCATCAATTCTGTCGACGTATGCCACTAATTTTAGTTTGGTTTATTTGGTCCTATAGTTATTCTCTGAAATAGCTTCCGTAAAATAAAATCATTAAATTATGTTAAATTGGTACTGTGCTATTAATTTTTACATAGCGCTAGAATAGAACCACCCTACTTCCGTAAGGTAGCCATAGTTGAGATTTCCACTAACCCAAGCCTACCATTAAATCGTAAGTTTATTATCGAAAATACAGTTTATAATGATTTTAGTTGTGAAGAGGCAACAAGATTAAAGTCATTTTTTTCTGTTTAATTTCAACCAGAAGAGCCGTACCTTGATTGAGTACTTTTTAAAGGGACAGGACATACCGATTTACATTTGGTATGAAAGTTACCCTACTCATAGCGGCGAGGGGTACGAGGGACGGGTGTCGAGGGTATCTCCAGACTCACCATACGGCGCGGCCTCACTCAACCTTACGAATATTAGGGAGTCGGATCAAGGATGGTGCGTATTTTTTTGAAATAGTTCTTCATGCCATAAACCATGTAATATATAGCAGTGTATGGTTTCTAATTTTCGTTCTTTTTTTGGAAGGTAGGTGGGCGCGCACCTTTAATTTATTTTTCAGAGCCTTGCTTTGTAATATAGTAGATATGGTACTACTACTATTGATATTTTCGTAGAGAAGGTAATCCTATCCAGAACTTTCAACGAGATCTAGGCATATTTTGAGAGTTAAAAAAAAGTTATTACACTTCGGCAGTAACCAATGTTATCTTGATGACTGAGTGGAGGTCCAAGTGATTAATTCTCTATGACTTGGTTAATTGATGAGTCCCCACCACGAACTTACTATTTACAGAGATATTTTAATCCTATCAAGAGTTGGCGCGATTCAAGGAAGGAAAGGCAGACATAACCTTACTCGTAAAACACTTAACAATTTAGAAATTGTAAATTTCTTTGGTATAGATATGAAGTAATAAATAAATAAATATATATATATATATATATATATATATATATATATATATATATATATATATATATATATATATATATATATTATTACTTCACTCAAATACCTGTACGAAAGAAATTTACAATTTTTAAAGTGTTTTACGGAGTTCAACAAGCGAACGGATGATATCCCGGAATATAGTGTCATCACATTTTTCCATCCGTGAATCAATACGTGAAAAAAAATATATATATATATATATATATATATATATATATATATATATATATATATATATATATATATATATATATATATATATATATATATATATATATATATATATAACAGTGTTCGAAGTGTTTTCGGAGCGCGAGCATTGAAGATGCCAAGTGAGATTTTGGCGAAACGTCTGCAGGATTCCAGTCGGATGCAGGATTTGCAGGATTCCAGTCGGATGCAGGATTCCAGTCGGAGTTCAACGAGCGAACGGATGATATCCCGGAATATAGTGTCATCACATTTTTCCATCCGTGAATCAATACGTGAGAATATATATATATATATATATATATATATATATATATATATATATATATATATATATATATATATATATATATATATATATATATAATCTATGATCTTGTTTTGGTTTATCTTTTTTGTTACCAATGTTACCAATAAACTGTTAATATTAAACTAAGTGTCAACAATAAATAAGGTTACCATTTTAGATATTTAATAAAATCATTTTCCAAAGCTTACTGCCTTGTGTGGTCATTTATACAAATAAGCCCATAATGTTGTACATTTTTGAGAAGCTCATACCAAGCGGAGTATAAGATATAGAGTGTTCAATTAAATAAAAAACTTAAGTTTTGTCAAAAAGACAAAATCATTTAGAAAAAAACTGACTATGCCACTTCATCTATCATTTCACAAAAAGTACCAAAGGTTTGCGAAAACGCAAAGCTCTATCTTTACTAACAACGGACATACCCCTCGGTCACGATCAAAATGGGACACACTGTACTTGGTTTAGTTTTGCATGTTTAAATCAAGTTGGCATGCTTGTTTGATTTGTCTAAATTGAAATAAAGAACCTTTGAGTTTAATTAGCATAGCAATCTGGACAGTATGGTATGAAATATTCGGATTGAAATATCTCATTTTCTATCAAATCCATTCAAATGTATAAAATGCAAATTGATGCGTGTTCGGTTCTGCTGTGGAAATTATTTACAAGGCTTGGAAAGAACGATTAGAGTGTGATTAATACATGTAGGAATTTTAATAATTCGATTCCTCGTGCAGCAGGGTAGCAGGTAAATCAATACGAACTTTCTGAAAGCGGCCGAGGTCATATACGAGCGAATTTTAATAGGGATAAAGGTCAATGTGTATTTTTGATTTAGATCGGCATTACGTTGCCCTTTTGCATGATTTTAGTATTTATTAATTTAATTTTTTCCGTTAGGTACGAATGCAAAGTGGTTTTCCTCAACCGATCGCCGAATCAACACAAGAACGGCACTTGGTTTCACTTGGACGTGCACGCGCCCCCCAGGTATGTAGTGACGCCTGAAGACGTCATCTACGTCAACCTGGGGGACGCAATTATTTTGAACTGCCAAGCTGAAGGCACTCCTACGCCTGAAATTTTGTGGTACAAAGACGCAAATCCAGTCGAACCTTCTGGAACTATAGGTTGGTATACTCCAGTCAGAGCAGTTGTGCAGTTACGTCACGTATATATTTTTGAATTACGTACGTTGGGATATGCAACACTAAAAACCAAATTAAAATTCTATTTTGTAAGGGTTTTTGCAACGTGGACGTTAGTTATCGTGTTATAAATGGTAGAACCTACTAGAAACACGGTCATTCGCAAGAAATTGCTATAATGCGATTATGGCGACGTGGTTCAGTGGCGTATTAATACGAACAGACAAAATAAAACGCTTCAAATGTATGGAAGAAAAATAAATATCAATTAGATAAGTTTATTTTTGATAAACTCCCAATGCTTCAATAACAAAAACAACAACAACCCATAACGCAAAGAGCAAAGAAGGGGAACAAAAACTACTTTTTATAAAAATTCGGGATTTCTCCTGCGACGGTTTATGTTGAGTTAAACTAGTTAATGTTTCGCCAATGATCATCCTGTTGGCTTCTTCAGAGCTTGACTAGGTAACATTTCGTCAATTGACTGAAACGGTTTCAGTCAAGCTCTGAAGAAGCCAACAGGATGATTATTGGCGAAACATTAGCTAGTTCGACTCAACAAAAACCGACGCAGGAGGAATCCAGAACTTTTATAAAAAGTTTTATAGTAGCCTGCGGAAATTTCTTTGAAAAAGGCACAAAAACTAGTCATCATCGGAAGAATATCTTCTAGCTAGTTTGATTGTGACATATCGATAACAACTGATAAAATATTAGATGCATCGATCAACTTTTCTCTTTCCCAAGCCTCACTTATCAGGCGGTCTGTGTGCCTACAATAGTTCTTCCGTTTCTCGGGTGACACCTGAATCAAGGTGTCATGAATACTTGAGCAAGTACTTCACCCCATAAATGCAGTACAGAATCAGTATTACAGGATTGATGGGACCTATTTTGGCATCATAATATATGTATGTACAATCTGAACAAACTATCTGTATCGTATTAAATTGTTAATGATAAGGAGGAAGCCGCAAAACGCGATGGGCATTTTCCAATGCAAACTATTCCATTCTTAAAAGATTAGATTTTTAAATAATTTCATATTCAAAGAAAAGTACTTAGGAACCACCTATGCACTTTTTCTGACAAATGTTGCTTCACTAACATCCATAGCTGGTCTTTCATTAAACTTGGCTGATACCGAATATTCCTTTTTGCATGCACTCTACGAGAGACTCCCTGGCTCAGCAAGTCCACAGTGATCCGATCCATTGTCCATTATTATTAACAAATCTTCACTAAAATGGGGCAACTGCTGTTACTGAACCGCCTTTTTTCCCACAGTTATTGAGAAAATGAGAGTTTCCGCGGCTACTATACCAAAACTTTTATCTCTGTTCATAGGTTAGAAAGAGTCAGTTTTTCCCATAAAATGGAAATATAGATCACCTTCCAAAATTTTCAGTGTTAACTGAATCATGGGGGAATCGCCCGATTTGCAGCCTGATTTAAAAATAAGAGTGGCATATTCCAGCATATTAGTTTTGGTTAGAGAGAGATAGAGAGAGAGAGAGAACTTTTTCACCATATTTTGTCCGCGTTGCCAGTTTTTTCTAGACGTTCCTTTACTAAATATGCACGTTTCGTCTAAAAATACTGGATTGCGTGAAAAAGCATCATTCTGGTTTTTCATGTATTCCCCCAAATCTTTCAAAAATGTCAGTCGTTTATGAGCAATCCATGATTTTTCCATCAGATATTTCCGACTTGAAATATTGCATTTTTTCTTTCCTTTAAGCGAGGAAAAGTAATGAATGAAATTTTCGACCCAGAAACCATGAAATAGTTCATTTGGAAAAAGGGAAAGTTTAAAATTTTTCCATAACTGCATATAACATAAATTCATAAATGGCATAAAACCTTATGCTCTGATCTTAGAGAAATATCTAATGCATCGGCAACACGCTACACTAAAAATCGCTCGTTCATAAAAATAAGGTCGGTAAGGTTTAAGGGTAAAAGCGGTTTCTCCGCATTTTTTTCTCTAGTGAAATAATCCAGTTTTATAAAAAGGGCTTGCTCTTTTTCACCAAATCGTTGGTGCATTTTGAAACGATTTAATTATCCGCTAAATTGAAAAATTTTGATCTTGACGCGGCTTTTGACACGAATTTCAATCCTGACAAAACAAAATATCTCTGTCAATCTACAACATCCACTGAACTAGAACATGAACTAGATAAAGATGTCATGCTATGACATAACAGTGCAATTGCTCAGACTGGATTTTAGTATGTCACACATGTGCGTCAGTTATTATACAGAAAGGTAAGGTTTTCTATATTACACACACTCTCCAGAAAATTGTTCACTATAGAAGAGTGAACGCATTGAAGGAGTTCAAAAACTATATTCTAGTTCTAAATAATTTATGTGAATTCAATAATATGGTATTGATATGTAGGCATTCAGTTCTAACTTAATTTTTTTTTTAATTTTAATTTTTTGTGACATGTTCGAAGTGGTGGTCCCATCTCAAATGACTATCCTCAATTACTTCAAGATAGATGCATCTACTATTTGATGTCAAAGCTTTTCAAGTTAACTTGAAATTTAAGTATATCGTATACGGTTATTTATTGCTATGGCACCTAAAAAGCATAAAAAATGTTGAGGGAAGTTTATTATAAGTTTTGCTGTTAAACAATTTTATATATTCTATAAAATTACCTTGTATTTTGTCTTTTAAATGTTCCCAAGTTTCAGCCTCATGTTAATATCATGTAAATTCTCTATATCTTATTGTCATGTTTTACTCAAATCCAAAATCTTTGCTGGTAAGTCATTCATCTTAATCTGTAGTTTTCTCCAAAACGAAGTTGGTGACATGAAAAGCACTACTACTACTACTACAAATTAATATTCGAAAACATCGCCATTCATTCAATTTCGATGGAACTTTAATCCCATCGAAAAAGCCTTCCAAGGAAGCCTGACGATTAATCCTCGTTTTATCACAACTTACTAAATTCTATATTCTGTAAGAAAATTGAGCCCTCTTTTAAAAAAGTAAAGAAAAACATTAAATTTTTGCGTATTTCTTCGACAATATTATACCAGCTTACACTGCACGAATTCGCCAACGATGCCTCTAAATTAAAGAGGTTGAAAATTGTATTAGAGAGGGTGCTTGTTACAAGATGTCTTTCAACATTCATTGTGAAGAAACTCAATTGAGACACACAATTCCTAAGTTGTTTACTGAGTTGTTGAGCTGAGCTAAGAAAATTTGTCAGAACACTGTAGCTGTAGCAAATTCCAATGACCAACGATGTAATGATAACCCAAAAGTGTCAAAAATTGCATATTGTGTGCTGTTTTACCGCTAACTGAAAAATATAATTAAAAAATATTTTGAATATGCAAAAAAAGTTTCGTAAAATAATTAATCTGAGCACCTTAAATACGAAAGGGTTTATTTTATTTATTTTATAAATTTATAAAGATATTGAAAACATACATTAACATACAAAACTAAGGAAATAAGAAAAAATTCTACCACATTATTTCCCGTAACTGTGGTTTAAAATGTCCAAAACTTTGACGAAAAATATCTGCGTGCTCACTGACTATAAGATGCCCAGCAACGAAACAGAAGCGAACTTAACACATAATTCGATCCACATATTATATCAACGACAAAAACTGTACAATCTGATTACAGTTTGCTTGATTGTTTAATCATTTAAACACTAAACAAATATCAAAATATACACGTCTCTCTGATAATAGCTGCAAATTATAAAAATGCAAATTGGCCTCGTAAGCCCGGTGGCAAGTTCTATTAAACGAAAAATTCAAAAAGTTAATCATGTTTTCTGAAGTTTCTGAAGCCGCGTTTCATGCTTTATGGAGAAGGGATTCCAAACCGTGACTGGATTATTGTTACATATTTTTTAAATTTTTGATAAATAAGTTACTTTTCATTAGTTTTGGATGGAATTAACTATTCTTATTTCTAATGTCGGGGGTTTTGCTGTTTTCATATGTATTCTCTATAAAAAATTACAAATCTGGATGATGAGGCACTCGGGCTTCGTTGATATTAAATAACAGACGCAATGCTTATCTGGTTCTGCATAAGGGAAAAGTTCGTTTTCGAACCAATCTGCAAAAATTAGTTTTTCTAATTTTTCTAATTCTATATTTCTTAATTGATTTCAGTCTTTCTAATGATCACGTCTTGTATTATGAGTGAAAGTAAAATTTACATTAGGGCCAGGTAAATAATGGTTTTGAAACTTGCAAATTCGAATGATAGCAATCTAAAGTTCAACAGGTATATAGTTTCAGGATAATCATCGCTCGAATCCAAAGACTTAAAGAGCAATAATATGTGTTCGCAGGAATCTTCAACGACGGAACAGAGTTGCGCATTTCTAATATCAGACACGAAGACATCGGGGATTACACCTGCATAGCCCGAAACGGTGAAGGTCAAATATCCCATACGGCCAGGGTTATCATCGCTGGAGGTGCCGTGATCATGGTGCCGCCGACGAATCAAACCAAACTGGAGGGGGATAAGGTGAGTTGACTAGTCTTTTTTTTTTGGATAAAATCGATGTTGAAATGAAATTACTGCTTCTGGAAAGGTTATGAAAATGAAGGGAATGTTATGTTTAATTGGGTTTTAAAATTTTACTTTCTGGCCGAAATATTAATTTGTTGATAACGATTTATAGGGCACTTTTCAAAAGTTTATTTAACTATGGCACTTTGGCTTTGGTTAGTTTGTGAGGAGCTTATTTAAATTAGTTAAAATCAGTGCAAAATTATGTAGTAAATATTTTTATGCGTTATTACTCGTCTATAGGTTCGCTATATAAAAAAAGAAAAACGTTCATATAGGTCCGGAAGGAATTTGCACGTTAATTTTTAGACACTAAAAAATTAAGATCCACTAAAAACTGACCACCATAATTTCGTTGTAGTATACCAAGTAAAGATTTTCACACAAGTATTGTTAGGTTAGCTTTGGCGGATATTTTTTGTAACATTCTGTATACATACGCTAGGTTTTGGTTAGTTTAAAAAGTCTTTATGTTTATACCGTTTGCACCTCTGTTCAGGTGAATAATAAAATCATCAAGAGGTATTGCTTAATAATCGCAACATTTTGCCAAAACATTGCAATCTGCCTTCGATGTTAATAGAAAAGGAAAAATCAAAAACAATTTTTAAGCTAACTTTAAAAACTTTTTCGACATTTTAAAGTTTTAAGGTTTCAATAAACTGTTTTTACAGTTAGTGTTACTGTTTTTAGAATTTACTGTTACTAAAATTGTTATTTGTTTAATATATAACATTTTGGTTATGATAAGCCCAGACAGGTATTCCACACTTGGGTACTAGGTAAATACCATCTAGTGATAATTTTTATACGATATATACATTGTCTGATATTGTTATTGATAATATTAAAGATATAAAGATGTTTTAAAGAATTGTGTATTATAGATATTACTAAAGAACTTGTTACCTTCTTCGTGACTAATAAGGATGGCTTCCCGTGTTAATATACGAGTATAACATATATCAATATAAGTAATATACAATTAGAATAGCAAATTAAAAATGATTTTTGCCTTATGCCTGATGTCTGATGTAATTAATAGTACATGATTTTACTGCATATATTAAATGAAAATCATCCTTATTGGACCTGAAGGAGACAATAGAATTGCCGAAACATCTACCACACAAGACTTTGAATTTTCATAAATATAATTTTTCATAAACCTCATCATTTCATTAACGTTGTTATTTTAATGAAATAAAGATTCTATTGCGTTTTTTTGTTGCCTTGACCGTTTTTTTTTTTTCAGGTTCAATTCAATTGCGAGGCAAAGGCCCAACCAGGCAACGTCACCGTCAAATGGTTTCGGGAAGGTGCTCCCGTAAAAGAGCTCGCGTCTCTGGAAACCCGCGTGACCATCAGAAGGGATGGTTCTTTAGTAATTAACCCCGTCAGTTCGGACGATTCTGGCCAGTACTTGTGCGAAGTAAGCAATGGTATCGGAGAACCTCAGTCCGCTTCGGCCTACTTAAACGTTGAATGTAAGTATTTTGTATACTGAGGTATACTGCTTCGAATATAGACCGAAATACGCCCAAGCAATCCGACCTGGTTTGGATTCAAATGTGCAAAAATGATGAGAAGTAAAATAAAACAGAAAAAAACTCTCAATAAACAAAAAAGTTACAGCAAATTCTCTGAAAAATTGGTTAAGGCTTTCGCGGCCCGTTGATAAGCTATTATCTTGATTCGGGTGTAAAGGCCGTCGTCGATTGGAATTACTTCCTAACGTTTCGCTAGCACGAGTGGGGAGCTTCTTCAGAGGTCCTTCCATCTCCGATGTTGGATGTAGACTGACGATTTCTCCTGCGCAGGTTGTATTTATGCCGATTGGTGGTGGGCGGGGCTTGTTCCGCTTCGGTAGGTCTCGGGATATCGATCGGTACTGCTCGGGCGTTCCTAAGGATCGGGTTCAAGATTTGGTTGAGTCTAAGGGTCTCCTCCTTTCTGTTGAAATTGTGTGGGTGTTTTTGTATCTCAATGGCTTCCCTGACTAGTCTGTTGTGATAGCCGTTGACTGATGCTAGTAACTTACAGCTCTCAAAGTGTATCCTGTGTTCCCCGCTGTCCAGTGCGTGTTCAGCTACTGCAGACTTCTCTGTCTGTCCTAGCCTGCAGCTTGCTTTATGCTCCTTAAGTCTCGTTCCCATTGATCTCTTGGTAGTTCCGATGTAGACCTTTCCGCATGAACACGGAATGCGGTAGACTCCTGCAGCTGAGAGTGAGTCCCTCTTGTCCTTCGCAGATATGCGTGGGAGGTGGAGGGTCGTTGTTCGGTATCCCGTGATCTTGATGATCTTGAGTTCATTGATCTCTCGATCTCCCTCTTGTTGTAGGCATTTTCCTCCAACGCAGTTTTCAGGTGTTCAAGTTCCATCTGGAGGTTCTCCGGTTCGCAAATCCTTCGGGCTCGTTCTGTTAGAGTTCTGATAACCCCATACTTTTGACTTGGGTGATGGTTGGATAGAGCATGCAGGTATCTGTCCGTATGGGTTGGTTTTCTCTCGCTCGCCACTCGTGTTAGCGAAACGTTAGGAAGTAATTCCAACCGACGACGGCCTTTAAACCCGAATCAAGATAATAGCTTAAATTCTCTGAAGGTCTTTCGAGGGCTACTAGTCCGAAGTTCTTCCAAATTATACGAAAACAAGTTAAGACTAGGAAATTCGTTGTCAACACCATTGTGAGCGGTACTAAGATTAATTTTTTTTAAAAAGCGCAAGGTGCTCTCAGATATTCGGTCGGGTTTGAAAAAGAAATTGTCAATGGAAATGGCATGACGGCTGTCACAGGCAACTCCATTAAATCACAGACTTTCATCAATATTCATGGATATCTGTTTGATCATGTTAAACTTATAACAGAGTTATAGTGTATTATATGTAAGTAAGTACTGATTTAATGATGAGCTGTTTTTTACTGAATCGCATGATGGAATATCTTCCTACATTCTCAAATATTGATCTCATATTTAATCTTCTTGTTTATATACCGTCTCCTGTTAGAAACTATATCATAGCGATTCTTGCTTTTGATGCGGCTGTGCAAAATCATTCTATTCATACATAGTGTCCTTAAGTTCTTCAGCCATAAAGTACTTTTTCTTACAGGACTTCTTTTGCCTTGTATTTTCCTTGTAATATTAATTGTAGCCTGCAGTACCTTCCTTCTTATCTCTCTTTTTCTATCTGCTTTAATATATCCGCATTTGTTACTCTTTCCATCTAAGAAAACTACGCGCCTATATACCCACATTTCGAAAGTCTGTAGTATTTTCATGTATTTTTCATTCTACAGGACTTCATTCCATAAAGAAGGATTGAGAAAACATAACATCTGGCCAATCTGATTTTAAGTCTGATCTTTGTATCTCTAGAGCAGAATACTTTCCCCATATTTGAAAATGCAGCTCTAGCTTGACTTACTCTCTTTTTTAACGAGGGTGTCCTGCAGTCTAGTTTAACAATTATGGGAATGATCCCATCGAGAGAGACCATTCCCGTAATTAAAAAATAAAAAAAAACTAATTATGAATAATCTAATATACCAATAATTGTTGAAGATTTCGACATGGTTTCGTCTGACTCTTGCAGGACCTCAAAATCTAGAATTTTGGAGTTTAAGCTTTCAAAATTACCCTGTAATTACACCAAAAAAGAAACCCATCAATAAGCGATGTAGCTACTTGTTCAGCTAAAAGAGGACCTCTTTTTCCCACTTTTACAATAAAAACAAAATCTTTGTTGAAATCTCGCAATTTCTGTGCAAATAAAAAACACCGCCGTGCAATTTTGGTCTCGCATTTCCAAGCGTCCACCTCCGTGTAGGTGTTCATTATCACGCGAATCGATTTAGCATCCTCGCTTTCGAGGACAATGTCGTTCCTGGAACAAGACGTCCGAGAGGCAAATTAAATGTTTGTTTGTTCCAGACCCCGCTAAAGTCACATTTACACCCACAGTTCAATATTTACCCTTTCGACTGGCCGGCGTGGTGCAGTGTTACATCAAAGCGAATCCTCCGCTCCAATACGTCACATGGACGAAGGACAAGCGCCTCCTTGAACCCTATCAGACAAAGGACATTGTTATAATGAACAACGGATCGTTGTTGTTCACCAGGGTCAACGAAAACCATCAGGTGAGATAATTACGAATGAAATTGCAACCTGTGTTTGTTTATTGGGGATGACTAAAAATCAGAAAATGTATCTTTGATCTGCAATTCCACATTTGCGTAGCCATTTTTGATGGTCTCTACAATAGTTTTTGTTTTTTCTACTCCCGTCTGTAAAATACCTAATTACACATCGATCTAGCGTGCGTGAAGCGTCACTTTACCACGTCAGTTTCGTTTCCCACGGATCCAAGCCACTTCGGACATTTACGGAATTTTACTGCACGGGTTTGGGAGTAATCGGATATTTCCGGAGATATTTCTCACGCCTTGAATTTTGACATTTGTCAATTCTGACGGTCATGACAGTGAATGTATTCGTGTTGTTTTGCGAAAATGTACCCAAAAACTAATAGTCGTAGAAAAAGTATAGTATGCAACACGTTCGATAAAATTTTTAAGTCACTCGTTTATTAAGCACTCGGTCCGCTCGTGTCAAATAAACTCGTGAGTCAAATGCCGTTTACCGCACTTGTTGCATAATATACTATATACTTACATTTCGTCTATGAAATTCACTCTTTAAAATAGGTATTAAGGGTTAAACATTCATTCATTTTCTTTAGATACTGGTTTGAATGTAGCTGACCACCAACAAAATTATTGTTTTACTTCCTTCTGAAAATTACCTAATTACACACCGGTCTAGCGTGTGGAAAGGTTCACGTTACCACGTGAGTTTCTTGTCCCACGGATCCGAGTCTCTTTAAACATTTCCTGGATATTACCGTACGGGTTTGGAAGCAATCGGATGTTTTCGAAGATTTTACCGTACGGTTTGAATTTTGACGTTTGTCTCTTTTTAACAGTCGTATCAGTGAATGTATTCGTATTGTTTTGCAAAAATATATCCAAAAACTAACGGTCGCAGAAAAATTATAGTATGCAACACGTTTGGTAAACTGTTTAAGTCACTCGTTTATTAAACACTCACTCCACTGTGCCCCGCTCGTGCTAAATAAACTCGCGATAACCATTAATACGTTGGAAGACATTTTAAAATATCCAATAGTAAATAATAGTATAAACTTCATTAATTTTGGTGTTACGTATAAGTATCATATGCAAAAAATGGTGCAATTTTGTTGAAGCTACATATCTGCTAGCTGTGGTGTGGTGTCTTTTACAAAATTTTGTTAAATATGTTTAGGGCGTTAATTTTTCAGTTCTTTTGTTTGCTTGTTTGTTAAGCCATCTCAATTCTGCTCAAGTATTTCCCAAACCATTTGTGATAAGAACAAACATTGGGTTATACAAACCAAAAACCTTTTTGATCTGGTCGTTTTAATATTCAATTTGTCTGTTATATTTAAAATTAACATTTTTTAACTTGTTTTGTTTACATTCTTAACGTTTATTTAAAGCAAAATTTTTCAATATTACAAATTTTATTATGTCTACAAGATGAATCATAATTACAATAATATTCAAAAAATAGCAAAGCTCCAAAAAATTCTATAAAGCTTTTTCGGCTTTTTTATAGCTTATGATATTTTTTCAGTGTCATTAACTTATTTATTGGTTAGTCATGAATAAAGTTTGTTTTAATGCACACGAAACCTTCATTAGCCATACAAGTTGCTAACGGTTGCATCTTCGACTCGTAGTCCTGGAAAAATGGAAGTAAAAAAATAATCATTTGGAGCAGTCTTTAAAATTCGTTCGCCCAGATCAAGAGTATAAATCATCTGATTACTGATTTTCAATATTAGAGTGCATAGTGTCTCACCCCATTTGGGTGTGCTCAGAAACTAAATACTTTTCAATTATTGTTATTTTCTTCTTTTTAGACAAATGAAGCAATGCCTTGGTAACAAAATCAAATCAGAATAGCTGCAAAAAGTCATTGCGTTGTTGATTAACACTTCACATGTCTAATTAGCGTCACAATGTTGATATTCGCTTATAAAGTCAAATAAAGTAATTCAAATTCAATGCAAAATGAGACTTAAGAGGATTTGGAAGTAAAAGATAAAGACAATTTTTGATCAGAAAAGGTTTAAAGTTGGTGATATAAATGATTCGGTACTAGATTAGCTAATTACATATTCTAGGTTTTCCAGAATACAATATTTTCATCTATTCTTTATCATAAAGCCTGCTGTACTCTTATGCTCCGACTCAAAAAAAAACATCTTATTTTTGATTTTTTACAAATTTTAATGGAAAGTTTATGAAACAGAAAAATTATACTATGCAACACGTTGATAAACTTCTTCAGACAGTCGTTGCATGGTCTTCGCTCGACTGTGCTCCGCTCTGCCAAATCAGACTCATGACTAACATAGCGTTTATCAGACTTGTTGCATAATGTACCCAGTATATTGGTGGCAAATTTGTAATATAATAAATCCACGTTGAAGTACAAAAATACAAAAAACAATAAAACGAAATGTCGAAATGTGGATCTTGTCCTAAAATTACATTGGACAAACAGGTAGATCCTTCAAGAAACGCATTAACGAGCATAAAAGAGCGTTTAAAAACAATAGTTTACATTCTAATTATGCTACACACTTAAACACAGAAAAACACATTTTTGACGACAATTTTGATATTTTACATACAGCCACAAAAAGGAAAAAATTAAATTTATTAGCAGCCATGGAGATTAACAAAATGAGACATTCAAATGTATTGCTTAACGATCAATTAGATTTAAATACCTCTCCTTTATTGAACTTAAATTCTCACAATAACATTAATTATGGTTTTATGGTCATTTTTCGGTATATATAGTAGCAGGTAGTTTGTAAATATTACATTTGATAAAGACACGGTGTTGTCGAAACAATTGTCATGTCATAATATATAATTTCGTGAAAATCTGACAAAAATACGCTGCACCATTATCTAAGGCATAGAGTATACAAGTAAATTTTCAAAGTTAAAACCTTCAAGGATTTTTTTTAACTTTAAATGTATGTGTATGTGTAAGTGTATGTATACATATTGTATATATAGATTAGGTAATTATTATTCTCCAAAAATATTTTACTTAATTAGCACAGTCCACGCAAAAAATTAATTTATCATTGAGAAAATCAATTTTGCCGTAGTCTACCACGCATGCAAATATTTACGCGTTCGCTACTTCTACGTCAATGCAAACAATAGTGTCTATACAATAGTTTCATAGTAAAATAAACACACGAAAATTTGATTATTAGAACGAATAAATCTGCAAGCTTCTTTTTTTCAAAACCTAAATAATTAGGTACACTTATTTGCGTATAAAGACAAACGGACTAATCGAATAAACATCTGGAACTAAGTGATAACAATTCAAAAACAATCAAAATTTACAAACTAACTATAAATTTCGATAACGCTTCGATCTCTAGTTTGAAATATTAATACTACCGAAAACTTGAAACTTTAATTTAATAAATTGTATCGCTATTGGAAAAAAAATTGTCCGAAAATTTGTGCAGTTACAAAATGACTGGATATCGAATGTGGTTCTGGCCAGATTTCACACACCCACCATGAATGTGTTGGCGTTCCGTGCGTATTACTTAGAGCTCTCCCAAATTGTAACCAAAATTTTAACCTTCTGTGAGTTCAAAATATATTTAAAATTGAAATCTAAACTGGAAAATATTTAGAAAGCAATTGTTTCAGGGCCGTTATACGTGTACCCCGTACAATGCTCAAGGAACGCAGGGAAGTTCCGGGCAAATGGAAGTGCTTGTGAGAAAGCCGCCGGTATTCACCATCGAACCGGAAGCGATGTATCAAAGGAAAGTAGGCGAAACTGTGGAAATGCATTGCGACGCGGTCGAAGCTGAGGGAACTCAGAAGCCGACCATACAGTGGCAACGGCGTGATGGTATGTGGTTTTGATGTTCGTATCGCTTGTCGCCATCCAACGTTCGCTTTTCCAAAATTATATTTAGAATTTTGGTTGGGTTTATTAATTACACTTTGAAGTAAGACTTCGCACTTTCACATTATTACATATAATTAATTTAAATTGGCAATTTGGTCTACTTTTGCTGTAAAGTTTATTGATTAGTTAGCTTGCGACTTTAGACAGGATTAAGCTGCTTTGGTCACTTTATTAATAAGACCCTGTCAAATTCTATTGTTAACCAAATCAAGCAACTAATATTGAAATTAGAGGAAGTAAATATCAAATCAATGACATAGCTTCATCCGACAACAGTTCCGTTATCGCGACGGCTGCCAAACGCCAAGTGTCAAAGCAAGAAAGACAACAACAATGAAATGAGTTTCAAAATTCGCCACCCAGATCGTTAAATTTAACTCCACCAAATATTTCTTTTTCTTTTTGATGGGGTAATAGACCCAATCAATGCAGACGATGTTGGTAGCCCAAATAAATTGTCTAATATTTCTAAACATCATTCGGCAACAAAATTTAATAAAACTTATATTTAAATAACACTAAATCAGGCAAGAGCCTTTATTCGTCCCATTCTGAGACCCTTAAAAAACGTCGGAAGACCTAAATATTCTAGGTATATTCTACTCCTACTGTCTAGTGACCTAACGAATACTAATATATAATAATACCAATTTCATTGATTGACATTGCTTTCATTGCAAAATTCTTTCTTTTTATTGACCGCAGATAATATAGTCTGTTTCAATATTTATCGTGTTGGCTTTCGACGGACTCTCTCCAATAAAACTTTAACGATTTTATTACTTATTGTTATTGGGTAAAGCCATTAACAAAAAAATTATTTTTACTTGGGTGACCAGGCAACGGTGGGCCAGGTATATTTCTTTTATTATTATATGTTGAAACTTTAATCAGTATTGGACTTACTAAACAAGAAACTTTAAAAGAAATCTGTCTACTTACAAAAACGCCAATATCGTCGATAGAGGATATTAATAATAGTGAAGAATTGAAGAAAAATAATAAACATAGTGATTTTTAAACTGACCATATAGACAGTAGTGATCAGGAAGAAGGAAAATATATTGTCTTTATCAAACGGATGTTGTTCTTACCTGAAAAAGAAACTAGAAGAAGATGAAACTAATATAAATGTAAGCCGTGCCACCCTCCATAGAGTTGTTTGTAAAATATAATTTAAGTTCCGAAAAATAGACAAAAGGCAAATAGTAACGGAATCACGCAGGTTAAGCACTTGGAGATTTAATTACCATCAAGAAATTAAAAGATATAGATTAGACAACAGATCCATAATTTACATCTATAAAACATGGTTCGATAAACACGACACGGTATCCAAAGGATGGGTGACTTCCACTCAAAAGTGTTAGACGAAAGTACTTTCAAATACAGGAAAAAGCATCACCATAAAACATGCGGGGTCAGACGACGGATTTGTCTCAAACTGCTTGCTGTTTTCTGCCAAGAATATTAAGGATTCTAGCTCGGATGCCGAACTTTTTGAAAATTGGTTTTAAAATAATCTTTTAAAAAATATTCCCAAGCTACCACAGCCGTCTGTTACGCAAAGCACCAGCCTCATCATATTTAAAAACTGAAATCAAGGAAGATTTGTTAGAAAATGATATTTATTTTCATTCAGTTACAATTACAATTAAAAAATAGTATATATGCGATAATTTGGCTGAACAGGCTGGACATACTGTTTTACGTCTTCCTCCATAGCATTGCATGTTTAACCCCATAGAACATTTATGGAACCAAGTAAAATCAACTTATATAATTGCGGACTAAAGCCAGCACCATGAAAATTTAGACAGACTATAGCTAATACTAATTTAATTGTTTGATATTGCTTTCATTGCAAAATTCTTTCTTTTTATCGAGCGCAGATAGTACACCCGGGATTGATCATTATTCGCCAGTCACCAACACTGAAAATGGTGTGCCAAGGGAAAAAATATTTTAACGGACTAAAAATTAGGCGATAAGTACCTACATAGTATTAGACCGAATTCATATCCTCTTTATTTGCAATATGCATGATTATTTGTTTGTTGTTCGGCCTACGTATGGTCAACACGTTTTCGTTGGTGCTCCTGGTTTTGCGGAATATTACGAGAATAGTGCTTATTACGTTTGGCATCGGGTTTTGTCCATGCAAGTGGGAAACTTTTTTGTACGAATACCAGTTTGTATCCGGCAAGAATGTCGTTGTGCGTTGTTTGCGATGCGTTAATTAATACAAGGAAGCGAGTTTCTTACTGTGAGTGTAAAAAGCGAGCCATTCAACCTGCATTCACAAAAACGCCGACCTTGTCAATATTTTGTCTGAATCTAAGGGCTTGTTTTGGAAATGCGATGGTTGTGTTCTAAACTGCATCTCGCTGGACAGACCTGCTCTGAACAAAGTTATTGAGGAAAAGGTTCAGATGGCTTTACAAACACTGTCGGACACTTTCGAATCACTAAAAAATGATTTCCTTTTGTTAGCCGCTGATAAATTGAGTATCGCTGGAAAGCCAAAAGTTCAACTAGCGAAATATTCACAGATATTAAAAACTCGCAACCTGAACTCCTAATACGTCCCAAGGACCAGTTTCAGCCTAATACGCAGACAAAGCAAGATATGAGAGAGAATATCGACCCCATAACTTATGATCTACAATTCTCAAAAATCAAACATGTGAACAACGGTGGCATTTTGCTTAGGTGCAAAAATCCTCAGGATGTGGATAGGATGAAGAGACCGGCTACCAAAAAACTTCCCCGCACTTATGAAATTCGCGAATTACACAATGATTATCTCAGAGTGGGTGTTGTTGGTTTCGATAATACGTACGATGGGGAGGCTCTCCTTTGTGCTTTGAAGAAGCAAAATTCTGAACTTATTAAAAACTCGTCTTTGTGCAAAGTTGTGAAAATCTCTACAACTAGGAAAAACACAAATATATTTCAGGCAGTTGTGCAGTTGGACAGGGACACTTATGATAGGGCCATTTCAGCGGGCAATCTCTTCGTGGGATATAATTCCTGCTGTGTTTTTGATGGAATCGAAATGTATCGCTGCTTCATCAATCCTCCAAGTACTGTAACCCTCATTCGTGTCCGCGATGCGGTGAGGGCCATGACGTAAATGCTTGTAAGAACGTGAAATTGAGCTGCTCAAACTGTGTAAAACTTAAGGACCATGGGGGCAAATACAGTGGTATCGACCCTAGTCATGCGGCGTGGGATATTAAAAAATGTACGGCTTATGACAGTGCTGTCAACAGGCTTAAAGATGATTTACTTTGTCAATAGCAACCACAGTCGACTTCTTTGTCACTCGCGAACAATCTGTCACCCAATCCAATCCTGCCGTCTCACGTTGACAACTTATTAATTATATACTATCAAAATACGCGCGGCCTGCGAAGCAAGTGTAGCGAAGTTCTTAATTCTTCTGCTCAAAATCACTATAATCTCATTGTACTGAACCAAAACATGGTTTGGCTCATCTATCTCTGACTGTGAAGTTTTTGCTAATAATTACAATGTATATCACTCGGACAGACGTGTCCCTGCAACTGGTCTGTCGAAGGGAGGTGGTGTGCTGATCGCTGTGGATAGCGGAATCTCCTCCTTTGAGCGGCAGTTTCATTCCAGGCACATCTTGGCCTCTCCCCGTGTCAACTTGACTGGTGTTAGGCTAGTACTCCACCACACTGTACTATTCGTCTTTGTCGTTTATATTCCTCCTCCAGTGGCCGTCGATGACTTAGAGAATATGTTACAATTCTTCTTGTCCTTAGTCTACCTACATAATAATACGTTTTTAATTCTGGGGGATTTTAATCTCGCCAAGTACTCGCAGTTCTTAGATTCTGGCGAAAGAAATGCACAAACCATTGTGCTCATCAATTTTATGCATACCCTTAGCCTGTCGCAGTTCAACTTTGTTCGTAATGTGAACAATCGTAATGACTTAATTTGCAGCCAATTTTTTAATGAATGTGTTCCAAGATATACCAATTACTCAAATAGATTACCCTCATGGTACACTAGTTCTATAATACGTTACATTAAAAAAAAGAATAAACTGCACAGAAAAATGAGAAAGGCCCCTAACGATGAGATTTCCGCACAGTTCACAAACCTAAGGAAATGAATTAGAACCGAAGTCGATACTGCCTATCAAGGGTATATTGAGAGAATCTAATCTCAGATAAAGAGCGATCCATCTAGATTTTGGACATTTGTGAAAAACAAAAAGGATGCCGCTGGCGTTCCCGATTCTATCACCCATTAGGATTGTGAATTCAACAAACCATCTGATATCGTTAATGGTTTCGCAGATTTCTTTAAACAATCGTTTATTCCTAGATCTAACCTACCTTTGGATAACAAGTCAAGTGGCTTTCTGAATTATTAAGGTCATAGATGTTCGGAATGTTGCCGAAGATGAAGTGATATCTGCTTGTAATAAATTAAAGCCCAAGTTGACCGCAGGACCAGATCTCATACCACCACTGCTTTTAAAGGACTGCGCTTATGTACTCGCCAAGCCACTTCAGCGATTATTTAATCTCTGTCTTCAGTCCAGCCGCATTCCTGAGTCGTGGAAAACTTCCAGAGTTTGTCCAGTTCATAAGAAATCAGACAAGAATGTCATCAGTAATTATAGACCCATCTCGATAATATGCAACTTCCTCAAGGTATTCGAAATCCTTCTCTATAATGTTATTTACCCGGCGACGAGTCAACAGCTGCGGTTCGAAACAGCACGGTTTTATCACGCAGGATATAGCTAATGCCATTGATGACCATGCACAGCTGGATGTCATTTATGTAGATTTAACAAAAGCTTTTGACAGACTAGATCACAGCATTCTGTTAAACAAATTATCTAGAATTGGATTTTCCTCCTCTTTACTCACGTTGACGGAATCATACTTAACTAACCGCAGGCAGTACGTTTTCGTGAATGGTTTCAGTTCGAGCGAATATAATGTATGGGTGTGCCACAGGGCTCCGTCCTAGGGCCCCTATTGTTCATTCTATTTATTAATGACCTAGGGCTGGACCTTTCCTTCAAATACCTTCTTTATGCGGATGACTTAAAATTTTATGCTGTCATAAATCATTTTCTTGATTGCATTCGACTGCAACATGATCTGAAGATTCTAAATCTGTCGTGTAACAACAAAATGATGCCTCTTAACATTAACAAATGTAGTGTCATAACTTACTGTTTGAAATCGTCCCCAATTCTCTTTGACCTTTTGGCTCAACATCTCTCGCTAGACCGGACTCAGTGCGTGACCTAGGTGTAATATTCGATAAAAAGTTGTCGTTTGTCGATCAAATTCAGTGAATAGTGGCAAGCTCATCTAAAACTTTAGGTTTTTTGCTTCACATAACTCGATAAAGCTTTTGTTTACCGCTTTTATTCGCTCGAAGTTATAGCGTTCGTTCGCAGAACTTGGAGTCCATTCAAAGGCGATTTCTAAAATATATGTATTATAAAACTCATTGATCTTATCCTGAAGAGGGTGTCCCTCAGACTGAGTTGTTGAATTTGTTTTCGATGGACTCTCTGCAGACCAGGCGCGAGTATTTGTCACAAGTTTTGTTATACAAGCTGATTCATAATTCGGTAAATTGTCCTGACTTACTTGAGCAGCTGAATTTCATGGTTCCGCGGTTAGCATCGCCATACTCTGCTATCTTTTACCTTCCCACCGCGAGGACTAATGTCTTGAAGTTCTCTCCCTTATATAATATGTGCAACATTTCCAATACCAGCGATTTAGACATTTTTAATTGCAGTTTGAGTAGCATAAGGCTAAAATTCTGTTATGCCTAGTCTTATTGCAATTTCGTTGCCTTCGCAGTTGAGTAATTTCCTTCATTAGTATTTTTCTTATGTTCATTTTGTTGCGGATCATCTTTTTTGCAATATTAGTGTATTTGCGTGGTGGTGTTTATACTTTGTAAATAATTTTGTAATTCTGATTAAATGTAGTTGGTGTTCTCCTGCTCTATAATTGGGTTTGATCCTGTTGAGCAGTGTATGTAAACAAATAAATGTAAATAAATAAATTATTTTCCTTAAGGCATATTGGCGGAACTTCTATGAAGCTGGGCGAATACTGGTTAGATTTTTGTCTTGCCACAATATAGAACATAACCTTCATAATTTTTTTTTTCTACCCTTTTCGGTACTGATCAAGTTCATCTCTTCCGAATAAAAGCGGCAAAAAAAAGTTTTCTAGTGATCAAGGGACTATTTCTTTTGAAAAATAGAATGGAGTTAAAAATTTTTCCAATTACGCTTTCTTTTGCACAAAGTTCACCTAGGCTTGACACTCCGAAAATGAGCGGAACTCGACGGAATTTCCCATTTTATTATTAAATTATTCAAGTTAATGAGACAATTATCGTTTGAATGCTTTATTTTACTTTCTTGTAAGATTATTTACATACATCAGTAAAAATACAGTTTTGTTTTCTCATTAATCTAAACATTTTCCTAAGCCTTTCGATAATGTTCGCTTCCCAAAAGGAAATAATATCCTTTCATCTGTGCTTTTTCCTGCTCCAGGTGCACCTTTGCCCAAAAATCGGGTGAAGATTATCGGCGGCAACATCACAATCGATAGTCTGCGCCGGTCTGACTTCGGATTCTATCAATGCGCAGCCACGAACGAAGTAGCTACCATAGTGACGGCTTCTCAGCTAGTTGTAGAGGGTACCCAGCCCCACGCCCCGTACAATCTCACGGCTACGGCTACGGAATTCTCCGTTACTCTGAGCTGGATGCCAGGTTATACATCGTCGTCCAACTTTCGATTTAATTATATTTAATGGGATTTTCCATTTTAGGTTACAGCGGTGGTCCGGATTACAAACAGGATTACACGATCTGGTACAGGGAACACGGAGCGCCCGATTGGCAGACCATCCCCGTAACACCGTCGGGAAGTACCCAGGTGACCATCAACAGACTGGCGCCAGGTACTACGTACGAGTTCCAGGTGATCGGCAAAAACGCCCTCGGGGACGGCATGATGAGCAACATAATTACCGTTAGAACTGTGGGTGAGTGCCCGCGCGCAAGTGATTTTGTTTAGGAGATTCTTACGTTTAATCGTTTTTCATGAAAAGACGTCGGATTGCCACATAAAGTTCAAATGACCCCCACGCCCTTTCTAACTCCAAACGATGATTCGGGTAAGACAAACGCATGAGAGATAAGCATGCAGCGTTGATATTTTTGCCAAAATGTGCATGCATGAATATATCGCAGCATGTTCCCTCGTACCAAGATATTGCCCCGGCATTTAACTAGAAGGCGAGGTAAAATGGATGCAAAAGTTGGTACATATGGAGCCCCTTGAGGTCGAAGTGAATCAGACTCCTGGGTACTTCCGAGGAAATTAATTTATAATTAATTACTTAACATGGCGTGCGTGACAGCACAGACTACTAAACAATACAGAAACGAAAGAACGGCAATTTGACATACATACATATTTTTCATCCATGTAGAGATGCAAGAAAAGTGTCGTGTAATATATTTTTTGTAATATATTTTTTATTTATTTGTTATATTCCAATATTAATTACTACCAGCTTTTCGGCACTAAGAAAATATAATTGGGGTATGTGCGATTGATTTTATTCCATAAAAACAACACCAAATGCTTTCTTAACAAAGTAACACATAACTTTCGCTGAGAACAATAGCCGTTACCATGTCAGTTACCGAAACAGTACCGAAGCATTATTTCGCTTCCGTGGAATTGTAGTACTCTGCGGTGACGGCGCTCCTCTTCCTTTTATGTCTGTTCAGATAGTAGCCAGAGATGGGAGAATAGGATATTGTCGTCCTTTGATTTCTTCATTTTTCGATATAATTATTCCTGGAATCATTAACATTATTATTGACGGTCAAAAAATATTTAACTAGTAGAAGGCGATATAAAATGGGTGCAAAAGCTATATTTCGGCCCCATTGAGGTATTTTTTGGATCGAACCCATGGGTACTTACGAGGAAATTAATATATAAATAAATAATTAATTAATTAACATGACATGCATGACAGCACTGACTATTAAACAATACATAACCGAAAGAACGGCAATTTGACATACATACATATTATTCATTCATTCAAGAAAGGGCAAAGAGGTTTAACATATATTTTATTGATGATAATTTTTAATAATCTGGTAAGGTATTATTGTGTGTATGGTTTATTTATTACAAATTCTTTCTCAGCACCTAACTTTTGCCCACTGTAATAACCCTTAAATAGTAGTAAATGGGGATCAAAGGTGACAAAGCATTAACGGAGTGATAGAAAAGTGAGGAAAATTTTACAATAGAAAAAGACGACTAGTAATAGGGACTGTCTTCTTCCTCTTATATAAATGGGAGAATATGATGTTCTCGTCGTTTGCTTCATTTTTCTATATAATTGTTATTGGAATCATTGATATTATTATTGACTTCATACAATATTTTCTTTAAACATTCGTAACTTCTAAAAAAAACCTATCCAAATTCATATACAAAATCATTTAAGTATTAAATATTAAGCTTTAACCAAGAAATTAGAATTACACTAATCATAATTTTTTGTCATGATAAATAAATTTCTTTACTTTTACTCTACTTGGGGTAATCCAGAAAGCAACTTGAAAACAATTTAAAAAAAATCAAAGTTCATTCTCCTCCTATTTATTTTTAACTGGCATATTATCAACTAATCAACTCATGAAGCGTCAGAAATCTACTACTAATCTAATAGATCTATTATAAAAATAAGATTTACGTTTTTTCTAAAAGACATGGACGTTTCTATTAGGAATATACTAGACATGGAATAATGTTTTTTTTTTAATTCCAAAGTATTTTTTGTTATTACTTTCACATTTTTCTTAAAGCAAGCCGTCGGCAGCAGCAACGATCGATTATAGGTCAATTTTTCAAACCATTTCTCCTTTTCTTGTAATTCTGGTTTTCGGAAATCCAAAGTTCGTTTTTCAACTCTAACGCTATCTTATATCAGGTTTATTGTGCCAACAACTGGGGCATAAACTTTAGCCCACTCAAAACTCTACATTTTTAAAACAACTTTAAATCCTACTTCACCTCCACTTTATCCTTTTCTTACATCCTATAGTTCTCCACCGAAACCATCGCCATAATAGGCGTCTTAAACCACTCGCCTGCGGAGCTTATCGGTATTTCTTTTGGCGGATAGTTTTAAAGTTTAAAGCGCATTTGTTAGTGCATGTCTTCGAAATGTTGTCGTATTTCTAAAAGATTTGAGGATTTAAGATTTTTAGTATTGTACGACTTTGCTCCTTAACAAACCTACGCTCAGCGGAAGGAAAGTCACACAAGCTATTCGGCTATTAATAGACGTTTATTCGATCCAGACTAACTATAGGATTTAAAGTGATAATTTGGTAATAACCCTGATGAAACTTTTGGTTTCCCTTCGGTTAACATTTAAGTTAATACCCCTGTAAAACGTCTAAAATATTTGGTCAAAGTTTAGGTTTGGATTACAACTTCGTTCTTTAGTTTTTTCTTGTTATGAGAAATATGTTTGTTTTTTTGGAACTACTTTCTTGGAAAAATGGTATTGTACTATTAAGTAGCTAAAGTGCTTTCCATTTCAGTGAAGTGGTGTTCCCAAAACAAAAAAGGAGAAATAGCTTAAAATACAATTGAAAGGTTAAGCAACTCCCGACTTTGGTTTGTCCCGGTCGGTATTTACCAGTATCTTATCTGTCAATCTGAATCTGTAATAACCAGTTACCAGCTTTAAATCATCTCATATTTATACAGTGAATCGCATTTAAGATAAGGACACTCATATGTTTTGGCTATCTACACAGTTTTGAAGTTTTGCGCAGTCATACACACATTTTTGAAGATACTCAACGGCAATTTAATTGTTATACGCGGCCTACTGCGAATCCCCAAACAGGGTCAGTTTTGGATATTTTGCTTCGCATTCGAGATATCGGAAAAAGTTCATTTTTAAAAGAAAGTTCCACATGCTACTGTAATATTATTTTTACAAATTTTCTGGATTTTATAAATCAAACTTGCATTGAGGAAACCAACATGTTGGTTGGCCAAACGTCAACAAGCTTGATTCATCAACAACCGACGCAGGATAAATTACTGTGCCCTGGAAAGAAAAATCTCTACAATATGGTAAATTTAATAGTGAAATTCATGTCATTTAATTTCTTCAATACAATAATTGACGCTAACACAAAGGAATAATTATTTTATTTTAAGAAAAAAAATATGTTTTAGCAACTGATTAAATTTAAGAAAATAATTAAAACAACAATTTTCATAGTATAAATAACAATTTATTAAATGTTATCTCGCTCGACTAGTCCTTCGTCTCGATTTCTGGACCTCCCCAACAATAAACATCCAAGAGACCTCGGAGGCCATTTTTGGTTCTTCTTCTTCTTCTACTTACTACTCCCTTTTCTTGCGAAGGAATATTTCTATTAATGAGCGGTTAAACCACTTTCTGAGATATTTACGCCGCGAGTTTTAGCGGCTTTGCCTTCTATTATCAGCATCAGAAATCCACATCTTTCGCTCCTCATAATGTGACCAAATACTAAATCTTTCTGTGTTTTACTGTGTCCAACAACTCGCGAGAGTATTTGGGTATATTACAGAATATCCATGCCAGAAAAATGCCGGAGATCAATCGAGATGAGCTCCACACTAAATCTAAAGTGAAACGAAAATATTCTAGTCGACTCCTTAAGTGCCAAAAGAAAACGCAACTATAAACATGTGATTAAGAACAATTTTGTTGATTTTTTGTAGAAATGAAATCCGTAGTATTCTTCTGTACATAATACATCTCGAAAGCTTCTAATCTATTTTCTATTCGAACATCGCGTGTCCAGCTCTCCGCTTCCATAAAGCAAGACAGAGAAGATTTAGCATCTTACCATTCTCATTCTGTGCTGAAGAGTTAAGTTGGAGCTAATAAAAAGTACTCTATACAATAATTGAATTGTGAATCGATGCACCATCCAGCTGAAAATACATCTTCTGTCGCACATTGAGAGGAAGATTTACTATAGCTTCCTACAATTCTGTTAACTAAAAAAAAGAAAAAATTTCCTTGGGAACAATAACAATAACCTATTCGTTTAATATATGTAAGAGCTTTGGTTTATAGGACTTGATTTTGTGACTGATGAAATATCTTTTGATTTTATCCTTCAGCTGAGATGATAAATCTCTATAAATCTAGTACGTGGATTTGTTGGATTTCTAGCTTTTCCTGTTAAACTCTGCAGCAACTTCTCTGCTACTACAATCAAAATCGCCAATTAATCGTATTAAAGAGATTTGGTCGTTTATAGTCTTCGGTATTTGAATAAATATAAAAAAATACAAAAAAATAATAAAAACTAAAAAAATCATAATAATAATAGTACAAATTACAATAAATATTAGTATTTAAGCGACAAATCGTTCGTACAAGTGAAGCTGAAAATTTTAATGAAATTAGTTAAAGTTAGTATTGGAAGATCTATTTTTGGAATGTTGTTATCAGTTATTATGTAAGCAACATATTGTTGTTTGTAGGTCAATGGGCAGCGAATTTCTCTCTCTTAAATTAATAAAATTCATTCGTTTGTGAGGAAATATCTTGGTAAAAGGAAAAAATAAGCAGGTTTACCGATGCAAAGTGAACAATGTCATTTTTACAAACAGTTTTGATTTAGCTTACTGCTATAAATATATACCTATATAATGTCTTCACTGAACATATTATTTATTGCCGTTACCTTTTTGAACTGTTATAGCGTCAGCAGTTTGTTATCGAACGTAATTTATTTTCATAGGTCCAAAACCCGGCGTTCCCAGAAACCTCACGGTAACCGAAATCAGCAACGGATTCCTCATATCGTGGATGCCGCCTCTGGATAGAGCTAACCTTATACAACACTACGTAATCAAATATAGAACTGACGGTCCCTGGAAAACGTTAAACAAGGCTCAGATACGACCGGAAGATACACAATATTTAGGTAAGATAATTTTTAAACGTATTTATAGGTATTGAAGTTCTTATAAACAGTCTCCATTTATATATTATGGCTCTTTTTTTTTGTCTTACATGAACACCAGCGTGTTTGTAATCCCCGTTTTATTTTTGTAACAATTTTTTTGAAAATTTATTCCTTGACGAACTCAAAAATCCTATACAGGGCTTTTCTCCTTCGTTTTACCAAGTAATCGTGCCCACAGCAAACAAGTAGGCGGGGAAAAATATGCACTACACATCGCATTTAGTCTCATATTCTGTTATCTCTTCTCCATTAGCGTAAAGTTTTAGAGAATTATTGGCGATTTTATAATTCAATGTGTCGACTTGCGCAAAAAATATTGCTGTAGATTGCAATATTGCAGTAGATCCAATTAAAATTACATGCTTTGCTTTTAATAATGTTGCGCCTTCTACCAATCTCCAACTTTCACATTACACTTTAAATACAATAATTGCTAAGCAAACATTGAGATATAACCGCAGTCATTTTTTCATGTAATTATTCCGACAAGTCTACAGCAAATTACAAGAAGTTTGGCAATTTAACTTGCTAGCCACTTTTTCTCGAATTTGTTACTGAAACTCGGCGTATAGTATATATATAGTATAGTATAGTCCAAGTCACATCGTTACCAGCTTTAGCATCGATGGTGTCGAGCAACAATTAGGTTCGGCCTTAAACAAATTTGGCCGTTCGGGTCCAAATTTTATCTCAATATTTTTACTTTACCAAATTTTTATGTAAATCAGTGAATTTTTTTATTCTTGGATGAGATCAAAAATGCTAATGTTGCTCTCAAAACTGTCGCCAAAATTTACGCTAATAATAAGTTCATCCACGAGATTACCAACGGACCACATTTCCTTTCGGGTTTTTTCTGTATTATGTTGAACAGGATTATATTTATCATATTAATTTCTGTATGCGTGGGCAACTTCCAGCAGTTTGGATTTCAAGTACGAGCCGTCAAGGAAAATGTTTTTTTCGAGTAACCAATCTTGAATTTAGGCTTTTTTTCAAGTGGTCACTGTATACCTCAATTTACAAGAATGATAGGAAGCGTTATCCATAACAGTAACATTTTTTTGTCCATTGTTGGGTAAAATGGAAATTAGCGATTCCCCAAACCATGCTCCAAATATTCGCCGTTCATATCGTCTTTCTTTGCTGAGAAAACTTAGTCGGGGCTGGGTAGGAAACTTCTGAATATCCTGGCATGGAGTAGAACAAAACGCCGGCTTCTTTTTTTAGGTTCTTTTAGACCTATTGTTAAACCCTTTAAAAAAGCGTCTCTGCGATCTTATGGCATTGTCGTACCCAGCATAATTAATCGTATGACTCACATTGACTCAACTCTCATCTAAATGAATGATTTTACAATTTTCTTGGTCAACTTTGTTGAACGACCTTAATAATTAATTAATAATCTCTGTTTGCTCTAACATTATACTTTTGCGACCACGCTTCACATATTCAACACCATTTCATTTGGCAAATCCTTACCCCCTCGAATAATTTTATAATTTGGAATTAAGGTTAGCGGAGTAAACTCTTAAAATCTTCTTCGTATGTCTAATCGTGAGGATTTGACTTACTCGTCTGCTTTTGTCTTGGATATAATTTTTAAATTTGTCATTATTCTGTTTTGCTTCTTTCTTGATGTTAAAAATTGTTTTTTCTAACACCACTTAAGTTTGACGCACCACTCACCGTTGCACTTAAACTCCATCATTCACTAAACAGTAAATGATATTAAAAATTACAATTTGCTTACTCGCTTCTACTTGTTCTAATTTCTTGAATTAAATATCAATGGTGAGAAATCGAACGTAAAATAAAAGAAAACTTTCATATTTGGGGATATCATTCCATAGGCCATTTTCGTCATTAATACCTCATTGAATTAATTAATGCTCTTAAACACTGATACCTCAGTTTTTATTATTTATTTTACAAACAAATTCAAAACATGTTTTTCTAATCGTTGTATTAGTTATCCGTTTATGTGTTTATTTATATATATTTATATTGATATTATCTTTTTTTTTTCAAATAAACTTCCACTACTGTAATACTATTAACAAAACTTCTGCATTCGTCCTGCGTCCTGATATGTGGTCGGTTCAACAACAACGGACACAGAAAGAATCCAGAAGTTTTGTAAATAGTATGTTATCTATCTGCATGACACACTAAGCCGACTCCGGGGCTGTCATACGATTTTCGCCAACGCTGTGCGACTTTTTCCCATTTGAAATACATTTCCTATGCCACCTACGGTGTATTCTCAGTGTGACTTGGACTATAGTCATCGTTGGAAAGTATCATCGTTCCGTCTGAAACCCAATGGACAATTTATTTTAAAAAAACTGTAATTCAATGTAACCTAACTGTGCGAGAATTGGACTGAAAGTAGTTTTGAAGAAAACCAAAATTAATATTAATTGACATTATATTGGATTTTATTCAGCACTTCATAGAAATATTTCTCTAGCTTTTAGTTTATTTTTTAAAATTATATGCGTGGTAAATATATTTTGGATAAAGTTTCGCCATTTAATTAAAATGTATAACCACAAAAAAATATATTCAATGTCCAAAGTTAAAACACAACATTTAAAAACAGAAATAACCAAGTACATTTTGCTCGAAAAAATTGCATCGTGTCTGCCACCACCAGTCAAAAATACATGCATTTTTAACAGTAATTATAGAACACCGAGATCTACGTCTTTATTTTTTATATTTCCATAAAATTTAGCCAATCTGCGGAAAACATCCGATAATTCTTAAAATTCCCCAATCACGATTGTTTTGCATGACGCTATTTTTAGTATCGGTCAAATGTGCTCTTTTTGCAGTGAAAAACCTGGTCGGTGGGCGAACATATTACTTCCGCATTTTCGCGTTCTCGGACGAGAACAAATACGAAACCAGTGACGAAGTAAAATTCCCGGTTCCTGCCCGGGTCAAGCATAAAGCTATCACGGCGGGCGTGGTGGGCGGAATTTTGTTTTTTATCGTGGCGATCATACTGTCCGTATGCGCCGTCAAAATATGCAACAAGAGGAAAAGGCGGAAACAGGAAAAAGGTGAGGACTGACTGATTGATTTGCCCGTAATTGATTCCGAACACGATAAAATTGTTCCAATTACAACGGGTCATTTAAAAAAAGAAAGTGTTAATTTTTTTAATGAAACACCATATTTGTTTCCTCGGAACAAAGCTTTATAGTTGTGTTGCATCATATCAAATAATTTATTTTTTTATTATATAAAACATATACACAAAATAATAACTAACAACACTATAGATAGCAAACATCATGTCAAGATGGCTGATTATACAAAACAATACCTACTAAAAATATGAAGAGATTGCAGAACTTCGTTTGTCTTTATTATTTGCTTACACAACGTTTCAGCCAGATGTATTACTACCGATTATCCTTTTTCCAATGCGGTTCATTGTGGAGAGAGCTTCGGACCAATTGATGTCATGTCCCGAGATTCCTGACCATTGGATTTCTTCCTTCATTGTGTGTTTCCTATGTTTTTCAGATCTAACGTTTAAAACTCCTTTTGTTTCTCTTGACTCGATGTTTCCGGCTTTGTTCGAGTAATATCCTCCTTCATGTCGTCCCGGACGCCAATAAGCTACATAGATACCTTACAACTGGAATGACTGGAAATAGTTGACCTGCGTTGGCAAGTTAGAACTGTTTTGGAGATTAGAAGAAAAAGTACACCACCAAAGCTGAACCAGCAACTATCAAAGACTTACAAAAGGACGTGAAGATAAAGATTCTCATAAGGGATAAGGACAACGCTACATTCGTCATAGATATGCAGGAATACGACCCCAACAAAATCGAGGAAACACTTGCTAAAGGCTAGTGACCCTACTAGGGCGATTACTAAACACATGTTTATGGACTTCCAGACCTATCAGCTATCGAGAATTCCCCAACCAGCAGTTTAAATAGATTTGTCCTTCAAATCGTCCAGCCACTTGAAGGAAAAAAAATCTTCATTTGCTAAGAATTCCGGGCATTTGCTAGATATTTAATACTCGTAAGACGAGTACAATCAAATTGTTCCAGTTATAACCGAATCATTAAAAAAGAATGTGTTATTTTTTTTAAGTGAACCACCATATATGTTGCGTGGCGACAAAGTTTTATAGTTGTATTTTTAAATTTCATTATATCATATAATTCATTTATTTATTATATAAAATAATTTTAAAAATTGAAATATAACTTCAATTCATAACCATATACCAAATAACATGAAATCTAACACACTATAGATAGCAAACTACATTTCAAGATGGCTGGTTATATAAAACTATAGCTACTAGGAATATTAAGAGACTTCCCTTGTTTTGTTTCTCAAGTTAATTTTAATTCTGAAGCCACAAGAGACTTATATACCAGACTACAGCGTTCACCCGTGAGGGAGTCGGGTGCAGTCAAGTTCTGAAAGGTACATTATCTTTTTGGATTTTTCTAACCAAAACCGTGGTGATTTAGTATGTGGAGATGTAGTCGTCCTAGTAGCATCACTAGAAAGTAGTCTAGCCTTTATCAAATGTCTCTTCGATTTTATGATTATACCAATGCATATCCATGATGAATGTAGCGTTGTCCTTGTCCGGTGGAACAATCTCGATGTTCACGCCATTTTGTAAGTCTTTGATGGCTGATTATTCCGCTTTGGTCGTCTCTTCTCTGCAAGAGTTCTAAGTTTCCTTCGCAACTTTTTTCAGTCCTTTCAATTGTAACGTATCTCTGAAGCTTATAATATCTAACATTGGCGCCTTTTGAGGGGCATAGATCAGCCGAACAGCGAAATAAAACAAAGTTAAGACTGTATTCAAGTCCCGGATGACATTAAGGAGTAGACAAGAACAAAGCTAGAAATATCGACTCAAGAGAAAAAAAAACCCTTAAACGTTAGAATTGAAGAACATGTATCAGGCAAACAAACACAGCATCAAATTGTCCGAATTGTCCGAAGTTCTGTCCACGAGGAACCTCCTTGGAACCAAACGTGGTGTAAATATAAATAAAGACAATGGAAGTTCGACAATAGTATTTATACTGAATCATTATCCACCTGTCTACTACCTTCAAGCAACAACCTACTAACCTAAGAGAAAAAAAAATCGATAGCATATTTGTTTGCACAGGGGAGCGATCTATTTAGAAGCATATTCTTCGCATGTGACCTCCTTTCAATTTTCCTGGACGAACATAATTGGTAAAACTTGACAACATGCTAGGAAAACGACACAATAATACATAATAACACATAATCACATCATTATTATTCTAAAAACAATACACATGTCGTGAAATATTCTACAAAAGCACACCTACCTCACTAACATCCATGCGAAAACCAAACTGGCTTATCCTATACTTAATAAAAATGTGTCCTACACAGCCTCAACTTGGTTCAACACACTCACACTCAGCAGCATTCTTTTGATTTATGACAAGAAAAAAAATTATTTGGTCTATCAAAGATGAGTTGTTAGCAATGCTAATCACATCATTCGATCGTCAGTCAGGCAATACCACTTTGACATGGTGTGGCTTGACCATTCCTGTACTGTCTTGAAATGACATTTGATAAATTTTTATAAAACTTCTGGATTCCTCGTCCGTCGGTTTTTGTTGAGTCGAAGTAGCTAACGTTTCGTCAATCATCATGTTGGCTTTTTCAGAGCTTGACTGAAACTGAAGAAGCCAACTGGTTGATTGGCGGACCGTTAGCTAGATCGACTCAACAAAAACCGTCGCAGGAGGGATCCAGAAGTTTTATAAAAAGTATTATAAAAGTATTATTATTATTGGGTGCTATATTATAACTTCTAGAGAAGTAAATTTAAGCAAGTAATCTTCTTAAAATATTGACGCGCCTGCAGCGTTGCTAGTTGAAGTCAAAAGTATGTACGAAGGAGTACCCAAAAAAAACCGGAATCATTTTTTATAAACTACATATTGTTTTGAAAATCACAGAACGACCTTATCCCCTTCAAAATACTCTCCATTACAACTAATACATTTGTCCCAGCGGTGCTTCCACTGTTCGAAACATTTTTTATATTCATCTTTGGTTATAGCCGACAGCTCATCCCTCGTTTTTTTCTTGACCTCTTTAATGTTGTCAAATCGCTGTCCTTTCATGTCCCTTTTCATACGTGGAAATAAGAAGAAGTCATACGGAGCGAGATCAGGCGAGTAAGGTGCATGGGGCAGAGGAACCATGCCATTTTTAGCCAAAAACTGTGTGTGCAGGTGCATTATTGTGGTGAAAGAACCAGTCTCCTGTCCGTCACAAATCGGGTCTTTTTTGTCGAATACTGTTGCGCAATCTTCTTAAAACTTCCAGCTAAAAGCTTGATTAACGGTCTCACTACAACCTAGCGACCGAAAGGTGTACTATACAAGCTCTGCGCGCAGCAATTCAATTCCGGCTTTTTATGGGTACCCCCTCATATATATATTAAATCACGTTCTGATTTTGGGCAATATTCTGAGTATGCAGGGGTTAGCTAATACAGTAAAACTATTTTTTTTTAATTCAACCTCACATATTTACATTTGCATTGAGAAATACAATAATTTATCTACAAAATCTCCTTCCCCACCCTACACTCATCGGCAACCGCTTCTTAGACTTGAGTGAATAAAACGCGAAACCAGAAAAATAAAAAAAGTGCTCCATCTGAATTTCGAATGTTGTCTATTTCAAGTATAACTGGCAATGCTGCAGGTACGAAAGTACGAATGTAGATAAATCATGGCCCGTTATGGCCATATATAACAGGACTAAACCAACCCATTATATATTAATATTTATGTAGTAAACTTTAAACAAAGAAACAGGATGATTGACGAAAAGTCAGCAAGTTCGATTCTTCAACAACCGACGCCGGAGAAATTCAGAAGATTTGTAAATGGTAAATTTTTAATACATTGCCGTTTGTTATCTTAAATTGAACAAGATTTTGCAACCAATTCGCAAAGTAAAAGTACCAACCTTCCACATTTTCTTTACCTAGTGATGGTTTTTTAAAATTGGCGACAAATATAGCCCCTAATAAAATATTGTAACTGGTTTAGGATTCTAAAAGATTAAATACGACATAAATGCTTAAATGCTAAGTCATATAACGCAATAGCATAGGAATAAAAGAACAATGGCTGCTACCTCTCAGAGTGTATTTATTTTGTCGCGGTAGAACTTCTAATCCATAAGGATGGTCGGCTGCATAATTTCTCGCAACTTTTAAGAGTCAAGATAAATGTCATTTTATTGTTTTAATTTAGTTTTGACGAACTTTAAAATTTAGATGTTGTGGGCTTTGGCGCACCGTTTTTAATTAAAACCCTGTCATTTACAATTCCCGCCAGTGTATACTTTGCTTGAAAGTTTAAAGTTTAAAGGAACGTAGTGGCGCGAATAAATCTATAAATTTAGTTTTACACTTTTTGAAATATACAACTCCGTTAAATGAAGAGTTCCACTTCCTCCTAATTTCAGTTAAATTCAGCATTTCATACAGCCCATGAATAATAACTACTGCAGACAATTTTTATCCGTTTTCCACTTCGACCGTTGTGATGGAACTACCATATTCCTTTACTTAATTTTCCGTTCCAATAGCTTCGTTGAAATAACACTGACTATAAACATCGAAGCAATAATTCAAAAAATGGGTATTAATTGGATACCTAATGTCTAATAAATTCAAACTTATATATTAAATATGGTTAAATTTAATTATCAAAACCAATCTATATTTATAATAATAAGATAGTAAGTATTATATAAAGAACTTGATATTCGCTACAAATTCTTCGTATATAAGGATTCTGTAATTTTTCGATCTCTCATCAATTAATCAGTTTTTGATGATTTCATATGAGTTTATGCAAGTTTTCTGTCAGCACAGCGGTCAGATGACACCTCTTACCATGCACAACTGATTGGACAAAAAATATTTTATCACTCTATTAATAATATACATAATATAAATAATATATAAATTTCATTGCTATGAGGCTTTGTATATGTGCATATATAACGCGTATATAGGTATATTTGTTGTGTTTTGTTTTTAAATATATTCCGACATAAAATAAAAATAGTGAAATATCGGTCAGTATTTTTGTCTTTCGCTATGCAGCGTATCAACTGTTTTCAACACATTTTTGCCAATTACTAAAACTAAAAACTAAACTAAACTAACCAACTAAAACTAAAACCGTCGATTTTATTTCAGCTTACAACATGGTGGCCTGTAGAATAACTGACTCAAGGAATGGGGGAAACGCCTCTGACAGTCAAGTGCCTTTGAAAAAGTGAGTAATTTATCAAAACTTGTTGTTAATTTCCAATCAGTCGCGTGTAGCATAGAGACATTCGTCAGACTAACTATATATAATAAATTTAACCAATTTTGTACACGTAGAATTTGCTACATCTACAGCACTAAACTGTACGATAATCGTAACATAGTTTTTGATAGTTAATTAATATTCACCTGATGCTCTGGAAATGTTTGAAATTTCTAATTTAGATTAATTGTATTAATAAAAATAAATTCTATTTTTCCAAAATAAAACTATTTTATTCTTATGAAACTCATTTTAAATCAAAAGCACATAATACTAATAGAAATTCAAGATTAGCTCCTTGAATACTGAATTTTAGTTCAATTTTTAGAACTTATCTTAAACGGGATGTGCAAGCATAAAGTTTCAATCTGATACACCCAAAAGTTGGAAAAGTTAGTTTATCCGCATCTAGGGTTTATCCTACTGTTGTTGATCATAATAGTCAAAGAAACTTTATAATAAACAATTAAGATATTGTAAATACCGCAGTTTACCAGTACTCTTCATTTTGTAAAGCTCATTTCTAATGTAAACTAATCTCAATTAGTCGAGATTGCATATTATTATATACAGTTTCTTATGAATTCCTGATATAGAACATTTTTTGAAAACTGTAGTGAAGATATGTAGGTGATGTTTTTGTTATCTGGCCACACGGTTAGGAATTTCTTCAATCCTTTTAGAATTATCTAAACTCCACTCCGAGTACACCCAAACATCAATTTTACTATCGATTTTGGAAATAAATTTCCACAGGCTACTGTAATACTATTTACACATCTTCTGGATTCTTGCTGCGTAGGTTGTTTCAGTTACGCCCTGAAGAAGCCAACGGAAGATTTGTAAATAGGATTTTCACACTGTTTTTGAGATATTCTCATTAATTGAAAACCAGATTTAGCTTTAGGTCAATCCTCCTATAGAAAATCGACTCATATTGATCAATACGTAAATGCATTTCACATCACCGTCCAGTCCAAACATTTTCTGTGATTAAATCCTTAGTTGTCAGGTGGTCTTTTATCAAACAAACAAACATTATCATGATACCATACGTTAGATTAAAAAATACACATCACCAGTATGACCTACACAAAGTAACTCCAGTAAAAGACCAGCCATATGCCACTGTGTGTTCAAAACCAACCGATCAAATATCAGAAATTCTGAGAAAGCAAAACATCAAAACTAAATTTTCTACTTTCTCTTCTAAATCTCCCCTCCATCTACGATTTGTACATAATACAATTCATCTGAAGGTCGCATGTGTTTACAGCATAAAATTAAGGTGTGACAAAGAACACATCGGAAAAAGAGGTAAAAAAATATCAACCAAACGAAAAGAACGACAGGGATTAATCAGACGCCGATAAATAACGACATCCGCAGTTTCTGAACAATATCACGAAACGGGATACCAGATTTTATCATCACAGATTCTAGTAACACAAACCGCGATATCAACCAAGCAACCAACACTTTCCCAGTCGCGCCGGCCCCGGCAGGCATTGATGCAGAGTAATCGCAAACTTCGAAGTTATTATAGTTTGAATACTGAAACATTGTTTTTCTACTCCCGTCTGTAAAATACCTAATTACGCACCGATCTAGCGTGCGGGAAGCGTCACTTTATTACGTCACTTTCGTTTCCCACGAATCCGAGCCAGTTCAGACATTTCCGGGATTTTTCAGCACTGGTTTGGGAGCAATCGGATGTTTTCGGAGATATTTCCCACGACAGTCATATCAGTGAATCTATTCGTGTTGCTTTGCGAGAATGTAAGCAAAAACTAACGGTTGTAGAAAAAGTATAGTATGCAACACGTTCGGTAAACTTTTTAACTCACTTTCGTTTATTAAACACTCGCTCCGCTCGTATCAAATAAACTCGTGAGTCAAATGCCGCTTACCGCACTTGTTGCATAATATACTATTCCCGCATTTAAATAAATATGTACAGGCATATTACCAAACTATACTATGCTATTTACTACGCGAGAAAATTTATTTACTTTGAGCGAAAGTAACAGCAATAGTAGGCTAACCCCTAAGATAGATTGTAGGTACATTTCTCTAGCATCTTTCACACTACATAACATTATTATTTTCGGATTTAGTTAGCAATTACTAAATAATAGTGCTACACGCAAATCAGCACGTCGAAAAGTTAGACTGGTGTATTCTCTGCCATAGTTCATAGAACCCCATAAGGATGACTGTTTTTTCTATAGGACGGTCGAATCCGAGTCATACCGTGATTACGAGAGCGTGTTTATAATTCCCGGGACAAGCGTTGACACAAACCGTAAGCTGAATGATCGGACATCTCGTTATTCTCTGCGATAACCGATCGATCATCCCCCAGCATAGTTATTTCGGCACTCATAATTCGGCAACGTTATCGCATTTCATAGCGGGATTCTAAATTAAATAGAATACGTAGAGTCGTCGAATACAATCGAATTTATTTAATTGTGTTCTGCGACTTAAGTGTGCTTCATTTGTTCCTGGAATGTGTCTATATAGAGCGGACCTTAGGGTGCTCTTTGTTGTGTTTGTGCATTAGCTCTATAGACTCTATTTAACGAATCTTATTTTCCGAGAGCGCGTTCAGTTATTTAATATTATGAAATGCGACAGAGGAACAGAAATTTAACTCGCAGTTAAAATACGTCCCTCCCTAACTCTCTCAAAGTAAAACCAAAATCCACAAAGGAAAAGGAGATATCAAAAACATTTGAATCTTGGAAGAGGATCCAAAGATTTGCTTTAGACCAAACTATCCGTTACTTTAGATGCCCTGAAACGGTACTGTGGTGAATTCCGGTTATTTCACCCATGATGTTTTGATACCCCTGATCAGAGATATATCGCAAAAAGACTTTCATTTTCTGAAACGGTGATAATTCATCTTCCTAGTGTCTCTCATTATTTTCATCACAAAAAATGACTAATTAGAGAATTCACGTTTGAGTTGAAATCATAAACGTTTTTAAAATCAATTGTTGCCATTTCTTAACGTCTCTTATAACGTTTTACAATTGAGATGTCTTCATAAAAGGGTTTACTTATGGTGGAGCTTATACTTATTCTTCCGTAGTGAGTGCTCCAAATTGTGATGATTTTGTAGTAGTCGTGGTCCGTAGAAAAGGTAGTACCATGCCATTTACATTTTTTGCAAAAATCACGGAAACTGTTTCCCAGATTTGTTTGTTTAAAATTAAACTATTGGAGTTATCTACTTAATTTTTTTTCAAAAGGTCATTTTTCACTTGAGCTCAAAAATATTCCAACCAGAGTAATTGTTAGAGGCCTTTTATTATGACCCCTACAAAAAATATTCTTTTCTGATTTAAGCTAAACAAATATCAAAAACAATTACCTATATGTAAATATATATACAATATTTACTCTACACACATAATACAGCTTCTTGGATTTGATTTATTAGAATTAGAGGAAAAGAAATGGTAAACGAATAAAAAGCCTTTAGGCATTTTATTTAATTAAACAATAACCTTACTTTCAATTTATCTTTGTTTTGAAGTTTTGTTTCATTTTTTCCCAATATTCATTCATTTTTGAGGCGTTCTTACTTGCCTTATAGGAACAGTATGACCCTATCCCGGTTGTTCTCATTTAATTGGTCACTTTTTATATATTTTCTCTATGAGTATTACCTATTACTTTTTAGGAGTAGTTATTCCATCTAGTGGTCGAATTGTGAACTTGAAGAACGCAAATTCCAGATTGTTACAAAATGTGAAATATTGTTAATAAAAATACGAACATTCAACTACATTTTAGAAGTTCTACGATATTGACATAAGTAAGTTTCTGGTTTTCTTTTTAGATTTTTTTCAATTATCTGTATATATTTACTATAAAAGAGTTCTTTTTGATTTGATTTTTTCGCATTTCTAATTAAAAATATAAGAATTTTATATGCCAGTCGTTTTATTTTTTAAAATATATTAATTCAAAGTTAAGTTCATCTAAGAAGAGAAATGCCAAAATAAAAATAAAACATCAAAATTCTGCAACACAAAAACGAACCCGTTTGTTTTAAAATTAACCACATCCTTCAATGTTATACTACATACTGAAATTAATACCATTTTTAATTCGTCTCTTCATCTGTGAATGCAGAGAAAATTATATAGAAGTTGTAGAATTTGAACCGAAACTATTTGACACAATGTATAAACAAAAACAAAAATCAACAACTTCAGCATTCCAAAATGCAAACGATGTAATTTAATCATTTTCAACAGACGTTGTTAAAATTTTTCAGTAAATTTGGAACGTGCTAAATCAGGAGACTTGGTAGACCATTATCTGCGTAACGGCGCCCTCCGGACTAATCCGGATAAAATATTTAAACCACAATTAGATCATTCTCCCATCGGTGCAATATTAGTAGATAGTTTGTCACTCGTTTCAAATCTTTTTAATCCGGTTTCGGTAACGAAATATCTGTTCCTCTTGGCTCGCATCACTGTCATCGGTATCGCAGTGTAATATCGATAACTAAACGCGTGTTTGTTGCATCACCCAGTTTCTGATCCCATTCGTGTGTTACTTGCCGCCATCCGGATCTGCGCAGGAGGAAAAAAGGTGAAGAAATCCGCGGATGTTGAAAACACCACTTCCACCACTCGCACTCTCACATGTATTAGCTCTCTTTTTATTTGTATGCACTTTATTAACCCCGTGCGTATCCTTAAAATCCCCCCGCACAAGTTCTCATACTATTACGTAAGAGTATTTTAATGTACGCGTGTTGAGATTGCTACGCATGTTCCGAAACAATACAAGCTAAAGTGTTACTAATTGCAAATGTGTTCGTTCCGGTTAGTGTAGATAAAACCTGTCGTGCAAATAAAAAGCAGCGTATGTTACATTGCATCTTAAATGTCCACATTTTACACTCGGCAAATTTAGATGTCTAATTTTAAGTCAAA